ATTAAGCTTTGGCCTAATATTTTCACCATCTTCACCAGTTTTCAGGGTAAAAATGGTTATCTAATAACAATTGAATTAACATCTATTCGGTGAATTGAAATGCTTCTCAACCAATTTAGAGTTGATCAAATTTTTAAAAGCCAAAGACTTTGAGGAAAAAATGAGAAACCAGAAAATGGTAAATCTCATTGAAATCTTAAACCAGTTTAAATTGATTAAATTTTAAGTTAATTAGCTTTTTTACTTCATTAATTGCATGCACATTGTAATGAATCTTTTAAAGGAAAGTTTATAATTAATCGTTGAGCAGTTTTGTTGTTAATCATTTGTTTAATTTTGGGCTAAAATCACAAAAGCTTGTTTCCAATCCTTTCAAATGAGTTTTGCATGATTGACTTTCAATGAAATTGATTGATAATGATAACTTGAATTGTTCAAATTGTTTTATCAAAAAAGTCAGCAAAAAAGTCAAAGGTTTGAATCAACATTTTATCATTTGATTGAATGGTTCCTAACAAAACGCAAAGCAACTACCAAAAGTTGGCTAAACCTCAAACCAAGATTGTAAGATAGCTCATGGATGATAAATTTTTAGGTCACATTGCATTTAATCCTCTTCAAGCATAATCTCTTAATCCTCATCATTTAATTATCATCAGTAACAATAACCATTTTAATTAGTCCGAAATGATCAGTAATGCAATCACGTTTACCCATTATTTAACCTTTTAATTCAATGTATTCCTTTGGTCAGTCACTAGAGTTTCAATTAAATAGTAACCTGTTAATGGATTAGTTTTCATTACAGAATCCAATGCTTTTAGGAAACTTTGGAATTGAGGAAATTCTTGAAATGATGAAAAAGATTCTATTCATTGGTAAATTAAATTATTAATCAGGTAAACATGGATTGAAGGCTTAAAGATATTGTCATTTCATGTTTCGTTTTATGCTTTTGTTTACCATTTAATTCTTGAAATGGATTTTTCATGATAAAATGAAAATTCTTGTTCTTCTGTTTGGTGAAACTTGAATAAACTTGTAAAGGTAAAAAGTCAATATAAAAATGTGTAACAAAAATGTGTAAAAATTTATGATTGATTGTGTTTTGATTGTTAGACAATCTCAAGCAGACTGTAAACAATGTAAAAATAGTTTGGTTAAACAACATTGAAATTGATTGAAATAGATTTGCTATGAAATTCAGTTCAATTGAAAATGGTTGTAATCAATTCAATTAATGATAAACCTTTCTTGGTTGGATGGCGATGAAAAGTAACAATTAGATTGAGAGACAATTGACAATTAATTGAGTTTGAAACCTTGTATTTGGATTTAGTTAGACAAATTGAATTAACGGTTTTGGTCAAGATATTATTTGGGTTGTCCAGTGATTGGAAATGTCAGATAAACAGGTTATTCTGAGAGGAAATTCAATGTAAATGTTGATTATTTCAACTAATTTTCAATGTTTTGTGATTAATTAAAGATCTAATTGTTAATTTTAAAGGTAAAATTGCTGCTATTATGATTAGGCTTTTGATTGACTTGAATGGCTGAGACAATTTGTATCTGAATAGCTTTGAAACTTGCAGTTAATCACTTTAATGTAAATTGATGTTGGTTATTTTTTGTTAATCATCTAAAGCTTAAGAGATTAATTAGCTGAATTGATTGTGAGTGATGATTGAGCAAATACGATCATTTGGGAAATCAAATTTAATTGTGAAAATGAAACTGAAACCAAGTGAGAATCAAATTGTTAACATTTGAAGTAAAACCAGGAAAAAGCATAAAACCAATAATAAATGAATACAAAAATGGGTCAAAAGTGAACAATAAAAGGGATAAAAATGATCAATTGTAGTTACAGCAATTAATTGAATGGTGAAAATGAAATAATTGAACAATTATAATCACTTTGTGGACAAATTGAGATTCACAATAAACTTGGGTTAATATTTTATTGAAAACAGAGTAATGAGTAAAAAAAAGGTTAACTGAGAAGCCAAAGATGAAGATGAATCTGATGTTGAATGACAAGGATGCAAAAATGTTGAACATTTTTGACAATTAAAAAGCTTGAAATTGTTAACCATCTTGATATGATGATTATGTTGACCTAATAACATGTCTTAACCTTTTACTCAATTTGGCATCAATTTTGGCATCAAAATGTATTCAATTCTGGTTAATATGAAAATTATCTCAACATGTATTATTCAGTTTATCCCTTCATTTATCCAACCATTTAGGTTTAACAGTTGTTTCACTTTAACGATATCAATTAATATTAGCATTTACCTTTGTTTTGCTAACATCAATTAGTATAATTAGTGATTAAACAATGAATCAGACTTCATTTACAGATTCAAATGAACCAGATTCCCTGACTTTCCCATTATTTTTTGGGTTTTGTTTGGTTGTCCCTTTGGTTTTGGGTTAATAATCCTGTAAATGTGAACATCTTAAACCAATTTAATCAATACAATCATTTGTAACAATTGGATTGAAACAATAAGAGATGTGATAAGGATATGAGGTTAACCAGGATTATGAGAGTAACAGAGTGACAATAATTCACTTTTAGATGAAAACTCAGTAAATATGAAAATAAACATGATGATGGTGATGAGGAGGAGGAGAAGCCTTTGAGAAGTGAAAGAGATAAAATAATATTTACAATTGTTATATCAAGTTTCGTTATTCAATTCCGAGTTTCTATGGAAACTCTACTCAGAATTGCATTCTCTGTTTTTCTTTCATCCAATTTTTTGTTTCGTGTTTGCTTCAAATGTTACTGGTAAAAGGGTAAACATTAAGACTGTCAAATGTTAACAAACATGAAATTATTGAAAGCCTCAAGCTATCTGCTGTTGCTTGATTAATTAATTTAAAATTCAATCTATTGATTTATCATTAATTGTGTGAGTTGACTTTAGTCAGAATCATTGATGAAAATTATTCAGATTTTGCTTTGCTTTTCTCAAGTTGATCTTTACAAGGAAACAAGAAAAGGTTGAAGGGAAAGTCAAACATTATTGATTAACAATGACAACAGTTTGCAGTTTGAACAAATCAATCAATCAAATGATTGAAATGGTTAAATGAATATATTTTTATCTCCACAATTTGGTTTGCACTTTTCAAACAATTAGATGAAACATGGATTTGATTATATTTGTTTTGTCTGTTAAGTGAAAGTCACTGTAAACAGTTGAACAGCAAACCTAAATGGTGAACAAGAAACAGTGAATTGCTTGAAATTATTGAACCATTAACTGAACAACATTGAAATTGTTTCAATAGCAAAACTGTGATCACAATAATAAAGTGAAAGTTAAACTCAAAGTGACTCTGATTGATGGCATTGGAATCATAAGAGGATGAAGATGGAGATGGAGATGGAGATGGAGATGGAGATGGAGAGGATGAGATGAAGGAAAAGATAAAAGATGTTTTTATTGGGGAATCTTTTTGGTTACGGATTCAGTCGAGAATTGGATGACATTTGATGACATCAAGACAAAGATTGCTCATTATTTTTGATTAATTGATAGTTTTTTTTGCTCAGGGAATCATTTTGATTGAACTAAATGATCATTTACTCAGGTAATAACCATAGTTAATGATTTCAATTTGGATGAAAATATGATCAACAACCTTGTTATTGAAGCTGTTGAGACATGAGAGGATGCTTATGAAAATGATGTTGTTTAGTTGTTGATGAAGGGGAAGAGGAAAGTGATGATGATGATGAGAAGTTGAATCGGATTGAAAAGCTCAGACAATCTTTCATGTTATATTTTTTGATTGGTTTCTTCACATTTGGCTTCTTGGAGCTTCACCAAGGACTTTTGTTTCATTTACTTCAACCAATTTATTAAATGCCAACAAATAGTCTGTTAGTCACAAGGAAACGGCAAAAATTACAGAACCCAGAATGACACCTTTGAAAACAATCATGATAATAATGGGCTATAGATAGATACAAATATTAACATTGATTTTAAAGTGAACCCAAAATTGGGAATAACAAAATCTTCCAAATCAATGTTTACCTTTTCAATTTCAATAGTCACTGACACTGTGAACACATAAAGTATCCATTTTATCAACATTTCATTCAACCTTTTAATACCAATCATCCGTGATTGGAATGTTTCATTCATTTTATCCTGATTTCACTGAAAAGGAAAAGGTGAAATGCTGTAATTCCATTAAGTTCAATTTGGGTTTTTGAGAAAGCTGAATAATGATCAAGATAAATAAGGTAAGAATGAAACTATGAATTTCTGTCAACCAAAAGGGATAAAAAAAGGTTTAATGGTTATTCCTTTAGCTTTTTTTGGGTAAACTGAATCGTAGTTAACCGTTTAAATCCACATTTTTCATCTTCACTCTCATTACATTCACTTGAACAAAGGTTTGATATCACTTTAATGATAAATCATTATGGCAAAAAGGTATTCATCATTATTTTCAGATAACAAAAGGTTGAAAGCTTTTAGGATCATATAAAAATCACATGAGATGACATTTAATCATGAAAAAATGGGATTCGAGTTGTTTGAAATAATATAAGTCAGTCAAAAATGGGTAAACATTTGTTGATAAACATGTTAAACCTGGTTAACAATGAAAATATGACAAACCTTTGATTATTTTAAGATTTTATTATATCTGGATAAAATTATGGTTATAACTATGATCATTATTATTGATAATATCATTTGCTTTTTCATAATAATCATCAATTATTCATGTTTCACTCAATTCATTAAATGTTTTAAATTATTAAGATGATAATTAGTTGAACAGGTTAAACCAAAATTGTATACAAATGGATGAAATATTAATTATTTATCCATATACAAAGATGGGATTGTTAGACCAGAAAAAAAGGTCAGACCATTTGATTATACAGAATGTGTAAAATGTTATCTGATTAGGTGCATCAATAAAAGCAGTTGGTTAATAATTAACATTGATTTACTTACCAGTCCAGGCTAACCAGTTTCTTTCAAGTTTCTCACTGTCTTCACCGGGAAAGGTTTGAAAGGCCGAGACAATGTATCCTAATGGGACGGCTCGGTCTTCTTGATCATAATTGGAACCAGGTCGGATAAGGGAAGATGCAATATCATAGAGACCATCGAAAATTCTGAGTTCAGGTGAAAGAGTATTAAAAGCTGCGGTTGGCAGTATTGGACCTGCAGTTGGATCAAAACCAGGTCCCGGGTAACCGTAAATGATGAATGGATAACGTGATTTACGTTCAACATTGATGAGTATCTGGTTATGAAGTGATTTAAATTGTGATTTAAGTTGGTTAACTGTATGGTGAACCCATTCTGCGTGCATAAACCCGTGAGGACCACGACGAGGTAGAACGGGCAAAGAATCGGGTGAAGGGGGAAGATCAATGGGTATGTACAGGTTGGTCTCGATGAAGCTTATCCGATGTGGTGTAGGACCATTGGATGGATGAATTGATTGGGCTGCTTGGTTGGATGAGGAAGACGATGGTCCCATTGATGATGGAATCATTGAGACCATCGGAGGATCAGAGGGTGGTGATAGGAGAGGAGCAGCGTCCATAAAACACAAGCCTGGTGAACTTGGACTGGAGGGTAAACGAATTGAGCGAGTTGCATGGCGACCCAATTGAGGTGAAGGAGTTCCACCACGAAGGCCACTAATACCACCACCAGAGCCACCACCAGAACCACTTCCACTTCCACCCTGGCCATAAATATCTCTAGATCTTTCAGGTGAATCGGTGGTTGAAATGGGTTGATATTTGGGTGGACCACTTCGTCTCCAGAATCTCTTGAAACTATGGTCAAAACCAGCTGATCCAGATGAACTGGTACCTGAAATACCGGCTCGGTCATTGAAGTGGTCCAAGGCGTTTGGAGAGTGAGGCGGAGTGGCCAGGATACGACCATAGTTGGAGAAATACTCGTAATAATCAAATGAGGTTGAAGCAGGGTTGGAGTGGTGAAGATCGAGAAAACCAGAACCTGGTTTACTGGAGGTGGATGTCTTTTTAACCCCACGACTAGAGGTTGGCGATGAGAATGAGGTTGATGCTGATGGGCCATTGAAAAAATTTCCATAAGGTTCATTAAGGTGGAACAAGAGATGAGTGTTGGTGGTGTGGGTTGATGGTGCATAGGATGTTGCTGAACTTTTCTTGGGCGCTGAGCTGCTTGATGTTGACTGTTGTTGAGAATGAAGAGATCGTTGGAGTAAATTCATAGCTATAATTAAACAGCAATTGTGTTCAAATCGCAATTTTCTTGGCTTTATCCTTTACAGCTGACAGAAACAAATTACCCAAAACAATTTTCAACTAAACAATTACTTTGGCATAAAGTGAGGCTTTAGGCGCAAGGGTTTAATTTTAAATGTAAATATTTCCTTTCCTTGCTTTCCTGGTTTTCAATTGTAAAAAATGACATTATCGATGAGATTAATCATAATTGTAAGTTTACATTTGTGTGTTTAAACTTGTCCATTCAATTTTCTGACCATGACTTTCAATCTAACATATTATTATATCCGAAGGAACATAAGAGTGGACTTTTTCCTTCCATTTTTTTGATCATTATTGTTACCAAGCTGAATACACTTAGTAAGGCAGCTTTGGTTAGATGTTTTACCTTGATTGGCTTTTTTGATATCGACTTTGTTTCCAAATTGGTGGTTGCCAAAAAAAAGAGGGTTAAAATTATATGAAGCACAATATCATAATGTAAATCCAAGCTTTAAATTTGCTTAATTAGTTTGGATATCAAAGGGTGAATATAAAATGCAGCAGATAAAATAAATAGAACACACAAAGACATTCAATTAGATCACAAGTGAAGTGAATATTTCAACTGTTTGAATCCAATGGAAGTAACGCATAAAAATAGAGCAACAAAGGAAAATCAAATTGAATCAAAAGAAAAGATCAAGAAACTGATCGAAAATTAAATCACCATTTTCAAATTGAACAAACAAAAGAGGTAATAACAATAATCCAATGTTGATTTGAGAGACACAAATTAAGTAACGGTTGATGAGTTAAATGTTCCTGGTATTGATGAGGTTAAAGGTGCTAGTGATGGTGGCGATGGTGAAGACGATGGCAATACTTTTGATGAAACCATAACTTGTCAACTCATTTCTTGATCTTTCATGATCAACAAAATACGATGGCTTCAACTATCAAGTTAAGTAATTTCCAACTTTTTCCCATTTTAACATGAAACTCTCACCAGACTCAAAATGTGTTCTAATTCCTGAGATGAAAAGAGAGACAAAAAAGCAGAGTGAGTTAAGAAGATAACAACGCAAATCTTCCAGTTTCTGAGCAAACTCTGGGTATTTTCATCGCCTTTATTGTCCTTTTCATCATATTCTTTTTCTGGTAAATTGAGCATTTTTTTCTAACTGCAATCAACTTTTGACTACAATTTCAAATTAAAAAATTGTTGAGTTGAAAGTCATGGAGCAAGGGGTTGAAGCAAAAGAAAACATTAGAAGTATTGAAATGAATTGAGGGAAATAAAATGGAGTCTTAATCAACTTGTTCCATCTCGTGTCAACAATTTAAATCCAAGAATTATGAATCGTGTAAATATTTTCATTTCTCTAGAGATTCTTCATTTTAGTAAGACGATTGATATTGAATTATCAATGATAATCAGTGATTCACCAGTGATAAATCATCACTGTACTATTTATTTTGTAGAGTTTAGATTATAATCTATTGATAAGAAATTGAAACATTCCAATTTAAAACCGATTCCGCTTCTGATTGATAGCAAAATGTATCAATATTTAATGTCTAGCTTAATGGATTATCACAGCCACAGAGTAGAGAGTAAATCTGTTATCATAACTTTTAAAGTGCATCACAATTTAGTTATTTTTCACTTTTGAATAATAAATGATTTGTTTTCATAGCATCATTGATATAATTAACTCGATTTATTTTTATTCGGAAAATGAATGAAATTTATCAGATATTTCAACTTTTAAGTCAGCTTTCAATAAACATTTGAGAAAATTTTTGTTCATGTAAGATAGTAAAATTTTAAGCATTAGAGAATGAAAATTTTATGGATAAATGGAACTGTATGAAGGACTTAGTACTTTTTTATAGTGCGGGGGTAAGGGATTTGACAAGAAATTTGATAATTAAACCTAGATTATGAGAAATGTTGAATTAAATCAAAGTTAAAAGTATCAAGTATAGAAAAAATAGGAATGAATAAGATAAAGTGTGAGCTTGTTATTGAGCTTCTTCCATCTCGTGTGACCTGTCATCATCGACTCTTTGAATTACTGTGGTAGGATTACCATGAATGGCGGCTTCATTTGTATCATGGTCAAACACGTCGGGCTCACTCTGGTCAGGGTTTTCACCAGCCGAGGCTGAATTTTCTCCCTCGTAGCTAGGACTCCACAAATGGCCGGTTTGTGTTTCAGCTTCTTTAGAAATATTCATTGGCTCATCGCCATTCATTCCACCATGAAATTCATTTTCTTCCAAAGAAACTTCTGGCTCTTCAAGTTCAGGTGGAACGTCAACAGGAGACAAGGGTCCTTCGGGAGATCTGATCTCTTCTTCCGGCTCTTCATCGTCTTCACCTTCACTGATGTCATTCTCCAAATCAACAGTTCGGACTCGGAAAACTTTTTCGCGGTAAACAGGGGACCAACCTCCTTGGGAATCAAGCTCGACCGCAGTACAGGATGTGTAAGTTTTGGCAATAATTGAATTGAATAGACCATCAACTACGATTTGATCTTCTTTTAGTTGTTTCGAGCAAATTGGACAAGACCATTCCAATTTACGACGATTAGCTCGTAGAAAAGTATTGAGATCAAAACATTCAACATGTGAACATGACGCACCTCGGACAGGAGTTTCAATCCTTTGCTTAGATATGGGATCCAACAAAGTATAAACTTTGCGAAATAGTTTGTTCATATCTGTCATAAATCTTTCATTAACGCGATGAGCAAGCTTGAAAGTTTGGTTTGGCACTAAATACCGCAAACTAACAAACGGTAGTTCATCCTTCTTTTTTTTACAGAAAATAATCGAAAAAATATGTGGCTTAGCTTGCCCATCGAAGGAAATTCGGACTCTTTCAATACTAGCCCCTTCAGCTATGAGGTAGCGTGTGATGTCAGCGGGACCATCTAGAGGCGCATTCGGGTCTTCTTCAGTCTAGAAAAATGATTATGGTTAAAATAAATTGAAATAGAAATAACAGAGACTTAAATGACTTTGAAAATACTAACCGGAGCTGTGAGAGGCAAGGCGACATCATTAACACGAATGTTCATTCCATAGTCAAAAATGTCTTCGTAACCGCCATCTTGCTTATTGAAATAAGCTAATCGCAAAAGTACACAATAGTTATCGACATTTATCTTTTTGGATTGAGTTTTGGTTAGTGGGAAACAACACCAATCAGAGACAGCATCTGAAAGCAACAATAACGAAGTCAGTAAAAATTGACAGATTTACTTACTTTTTCAAAAAGCTCTAAAATAATCCTTAAAAATATACATACCAGAATAAGTTGGTTGAATAATGACCGAAACTGGAGTATATTTGTCAGGGTTGACTGGTGTGAAAGATAGGTTGTCCTTATCGGGGTCATAGTTTAGTCCAAACTTCACTTTCTTAACACTCAAAGGTCCTCCTTTAGCCTTGTTAGTGTGCTGTGGCGGCTCCTCAACTTCACCACTACCTCGTTTTCTTGTAGGCCGAGACATTCTATTTGATGTTCGATAATTGGTTTCACTTTCACTTTCAGAATCTACTTCGTTTAAATTACGTTTTGATCGAGTTTGCCTGAAAATAAAAAAAAGAGCCAAAAGATACAAACGATATATACACACACGTGATAACCACTAAAAGCCGGTTAAGGAAACAAACCTGGACGCTTGATCGATTCCTTCCAATCTTGGTAAATAAATGTAACACTCCTAAAGAAAGAGATTTCAAAGGTTAGTCAATACATAGAGTTGCATTAGAGTTAAAAACAAAAACGAATTAAAGATACAAACCTGGCTCAAAAATTCATCACTATTCGACATCTTAAACCATAATAATCAACATTTGTAATCATTTCTGTTTCATTAAACAAAACATCCCGGCAATTTGTAATCTCCTATCCTAACTGATAAAAAACTAGCGAGTTTGCTCCATCTATTGGTGGACAATAGAAAAATTTCTGTAGCATTTAGAACACAAAGCATTTTAAATAAAGCGCAATTATAATTGTTGCCTAGTGAGCATGGCTTCCTTTAAATAAGTTTCATGTTACCGGTTACATTCTTCCGTTGGTAGAGCAAAGGTTTTTTTTACCACAATTTAATCTAATAACCATCTAATAATCATCACTTAACACCATTTTGTCCTTCAGTTCTCTTAAATTGTGCCGTAATAATCTCTATACATTATGGATTTAATAATCATCCTAGGTAAAACAATATCTCCAGCTCAAAATGAACGTGAAGCAGCTGAAAGATTTTTGGAGCAAGCTGCGGGGACTAATTTTCCTGGATTTCTTAAAGCCTTATCAGATGTTCTCGTTAATGTCAACAATGACCAAATAGCTCGAACAGCAGCAGGTCTGCAGCTCAAAAATGCCCTCACATCGAAAGACCCAGACATACGAACACAATATCAGCTCAGATGGTTGAGCCTTCCTGAAGATGTGCGTAACCATGTTAAAGCAAATGTTATTAACACCCTTGGAACAGAATCGAGTCGTCCATCATCAGCAGCACAATGTGTCGCATATATAGCTGTAGCTGAATTACAACATAAAATGTGGCCCGATTTAATCGGACTTTTAACTCAAAATGTTACCAATCCTAATAGTACTGAAATGATGAAAGAAGCCACTTTAGAAGCAATTGGTTATATTTGTCAGGATATTGATCCAGAGGTCCTCGTTTCACAGTCAAATGAAATTTTAACAGCTATAGTTCACGGAATGCGAAAAGAAGAAACAAACAACCATGTTAAATTAGCAGCTACCAATGCACTTCTCAACTCATTGGAGTTTACCAAAGCCAATTTTGATAAAGATTCAGAAAGACATTTTATAATGCAAGTTGTTTGCGAAGCAACGCAGTCAGATAACATGCAGGTAAGTTATCAAGGCTCATTTCATCCCGACTGACTCCAACCTTGGACATGTTTATGTGACCTAATCATTACGTAACATTACATTTTTTGTATTTTGGATTTGTTCTTGTGATTTAGTGAATCATTCGATATGATTTTCTAAACCACATGTTTTTAGTTTAATCTTAGGCAACTTCATATTTTTTAGCATATTTCTTATTCATATTTTTGATGATTGACATATTTCACCTCTCATTTTTTCTTTTTTTTAGGTTAAAGTAGCTGCACTCCAATGCTTAGTTAAAATAATGTCTTTATATTATCAACACATGGAACATTATATGGGCCCAGCATTATTTGCCATTACTATGGACGCCATGAAAAGTGATATTGATGAAGTTGCACTTCAAGGTATTGAATTTTGGTCTAACGTTTGCGATGAAGAGGTTGATTTATCAATAGAAGCATCTGAAGCCAGTGAAAGAGGCCGTCCTCCAGCAAGAACTTCGCGGTTTTACGCGAAAGGAGCACTTCAATATTTAGTACCAATTTTGATGCACACTTTAACGAAACAAGAAGAGGGAGATGACGATGATGAATGGGTACCATGTAAAGCAGCAGGAGTTTGCCTTATGCTTATGGCAAGCTGTTGTGAAGATGATATAATTCCCCATGTTCTGCCTTTTATTAAAGATAATATCAAAAATCCAGATTGGAGATTCCGTGATGCCGCTGTGATGACTTTCGGCTCTGTTTTAGAAGGTCCTGATCCTACACAATTAAAACCCATCGTTGAACAAGCATTACCTACTTTGATAGAACTTATGGAAGATAACAGTGTCGTTGTTAGAGACACAGTTGCTTGGACTATTGGTAGAATCTGTGAATTAATCCCAGATTCTGTTCTTGGTTCTGCTCTTGATCCATTGATCACTACCCTCCTTAAAGGTTTACATGCTGAACCTAGAGTCGCAGCCAATGTATGCTGGGCATTCAATTCACTTGCTGAAGCAGCATATGATGAAGGGAGTGAAGGCCAAGAACCACAAACCTATGTTTTATCCAAATATTTCGAGTATATTGTCAACGAATTACTGAAAACAACGGAAAGACAAGATGCTGGTCAAGCAAACCTTAGATCAGCAGCTTATGAAGCATTAATGGAATTGATTAAGAATAGTTCAACAGATTGTTATCCCGCCGTTCAAAAAGTATCAACAGTTGTTTTGGGTCGACTTCAACAAATTCTACGTTATGAGACACAACCAAGTGTTATTAACAATAGCAATGAGAGAGCTATCTATAGTGAACTCCAGTCATTATTATGTGCAACACTTCAAGCCGCTCTTAGAAAATTGAAGCCAGATGATGCTCCACAGATCTCTGATGCTATTATGACAGCACTTCTTCAAATGTTTAATTCGGCAGTTAAAACGGGTGGTGTCCAAGAAGATGCGCTTATGGCTGTTGGTACCTTAGTCGAAGTTTTGGGTGAAGGTTTCATCAAGTACATGCAAGCCTTTGGTCCTTTCCTTGCTATAGGTCTTAAGAATTACCAAGAATATCAAGTGTGCAACGCGGCAGTCGGGCTTGTTGGTGATATTTGCCGAGCAATCGGCAACAAAATACTACCTTTCTGCGATCCAATTATGGTTCAATTATTAGAAAATCTCTCAAATGATAATCTTCATCGCAGTGTTAAACCTCAAATTTTAAGCGTATTTGGAGACATTGCTCTGGCTGTTGGAGCTGAATTTAAGAAATATTTACCTATAGTCTTGCAAACTTTAGCCGGAGCATCCCAATTTCAAGTTGATCGCAGTGATTATGATCTAGTAGAATACATGAATGAGTTGAGAGAAAATTGCCTCGAAGCTTATACCGGTATCGTTCAAGGTTTAAAAGGTGATAAAGAGCAACCAAATCCAGACGTGAATTTGCTAAGTGAACATGTTTCCCATATGATTCAATTTATAATGATTGTCGCTTCCGATCCCGAGATCACTGATAGTCTGATAGCTGCTTGTGCTGGTTTAATAGGTGATCTAAGTTCCGCTTTTGGTCCCGCTGTTACTCAATATTTAGACGTTGACGTGATTCATCAATTACTCAATAAAGGAAAACATTCAAAAACATCAAAGACAAGATTGCTATCGACCTGGGCTATCAAAGAAATTCGTAAACCCAAGATCGGCCTGTAACATCTCTTCCTATGAATGAAAACATTTTTTATATCTCTGCTGCGATCCAAACTCACTCAATCACACAAACACACCACCCCTTTAAAACCTGAAAAAAATTACATAAAACAAATTTATCCATGAAAGCAAAGCAATTCTTTCTAATCTGAATTGGAATTTGAACTCGTTTAGAAAAAATTCTAAATTTATATAAATGTAAACTTGGTACAGTAAAGCCTCGGTTAATGCATAAAAGCCCATTTATTGTTTTTCATATTAACTTTTCAGCATTAACAGTACAACTGTAAAAAAAAATATTTTGAATTGGACCAATTGAATTGGTTAATTGCAACGCCACCTCTGGTCGATTGATTAAAAACCCCATGATTTTATGCATTAAGCGAGGTTTCACTGTAATTAAAATGTAATCCATTTGTTTAAGCATGCCGATCTTAGATGATCATTAAGTTGACAATTTGATTCTCACACTCAATGTACAATCAATATACAATCATAAAAGGAAAGCGTCTGAGTCAATTGAATGGACTGATTGATCATCTTAAAAATTAAATTAAGTCAAATTTTATTGCGGATTTTTGCGATCGTGAGAATTGATCTGAACCGAGCTGAAGCAAACAATTGGCTAATTTGATTGTAGTGATTGATTTCATGATGAAACCAAATCTGTAATGTTAACCAACTACCAGTTGATTTAATCATTTATTTGTTGGTGTAATTTGAATGACATTACATTTGTACATTGATCATAGTCAAATTGGACAACCAATTTGATTAACAAAGTGCTGTTGCCAAATCAGCTTGAAGGCTTATCAACCTTGAACACGATTAAGTTGATTATAATTAATTATTATTATTATTGAAATGCATTGAATAACATCTAACAAAACTTGAGCCAATCTTTGATACAATAATGAATCTTTGTAAATGATCAACAATGAAGATGCTCAATATTAAAGGTATCTTTTTATTATAATCAAAATACCTTTTTCAAATTTTCTATTCTTGATGAAAATATAAATCCTACCTCAATTTAAATGATTAAAGCACTTTTTAATTGATTAATTTTGAATTTAAAAGCAAAAGTATTTACAATTTGAACCGGAAAACCAGGAAAATCTCAAAATGCATCCCAATACCAATTAAACAAAATGCAAACAATAAGCTGATTAACATTTGGTAAAATTATGTGATGCTTATTAGGCTTTTATTTTAAGGTAAAGGCCAATGATCTTTAAATCATTTTCCTGGTCAATTTGATGATCAGTTGATTAACCTTAACAATTGCTAACTTGTTCACTTTCAATGAAGCAAGCCTAACTTCCCATAAGGTTAAGGTTAACAGCGAAAAGAGTTGATTTCAATTGAAAATTCAGTGAAACATGCAATACTTTCACAATAATCATTACAATCATCAGATAATAAAACGTCAATCAAAAGGAAAATACTAATAATAATGAAAAATAAATGATAACACAATAATAAAAGGAGAAGAAATAAAACGAAGAGAATCCGAGAAGAGTAAAACAAAATGATTGATGAAAGCAACTCTCTACCATAGCAATACACAACCAACTGATTGGACCCGAAAGATTCATTAAGCCCATTACAAGATGACAATTAATCAACCCTACCAATTAATTGGACAATAAGACAAGCACAATTGCCAAATATAAGGATAAAAATGACAGAATATGTAAACTCTGCAGTCAATTGTCCAATTGACATCTTCAATGTAATATCATTTCATTTCAATGGCAAACACGAACAATTTCAACCAATTCTGATCAGTTAATTTCTTAACATTAACATACAATAGTTTCCTGGTTTGGATTTTAAATTGGATGAGAAGAAAATCAAGCAAATTGAGTTTATTTTAATGGATATTACAATCAAGTTAAATAATGTTTTCATTCTCAAAGCTCCTTAGGGTATCTTATAGCAAGTTAAAAACAAAACAAAAGCCTGCAAAAAACATTGATAATTTTACTTGAATTATTTTCACCGTTGATTAACTTCCTTGTTTTTTCTCATCTCAACTTGATTCAATTGTTGCAAAGGAAAACGTTTTATTACTAATTTAATAATGAGAATCGGTTGACCAGTCGACCGTTGATAAAACATCTAAGGTCAACTAAGCATTAACTTTGCATACTTAATCTGTCACTTTCACCAGCCAAATGTCACTTTCAATTGTCATCTGAAGGTCAAATGCAACCATAATCATCATAATCAGGTTCATCATTATCATCATCATCATTGGGTCTGTGACATTAGATCTCTTCCTTGAATAATTTTCACCTTCCGTTTTTGTTGTTGGCCCAAGAAACGCATCTTATGTGATTCTTAATCATCAAGCTTTTTTTCACAACATATTATGATGTTAAATTTACTGGTTAATTCCTGATTTAAAGCTGGTTGAGAAGGGAAATTAAATTGTTCATGTTAACAGGCAATTGTTTAGCAAATAATAAAATGGTCTTTACATTTTCATCTTAATCTTGACTGTATTACGGAAAACCATTGAGAGAAAGGTTGATCATCATTTAATAATATGCATTTTATGTTTAACCGGATTTAAAATTGTTCAACTGTCTCGGGTTGAATGGTATAAACTGATTAATAGAAGACAATCAAATTTGATGAAAAGAAAGTATTATTTACATATTCATGTAATGTTAACCAGCCATTGTCTTTAAGCTGATTGGCAAGTATAAGTGTGAATATGGATGAAAGGGAAACAACTTTATTATCATTATCATCATCATAATACTTTGGTTCATCTCATTAGGTTTTTGAAATAAGGAAGCAAATCAAGATGATAATGATGATGATGAATCTAGTACAAAAGTCAATGTTGAAGTTTTCACACAATTTTCATCCATTTCAAGCCAATAAATTTGCTCAGACTGGTTAAGCTTTAAAATACTTGAATTTCAAGTTACCTGTAAGAGTGTAATTTGAACTAAATAAATTTTAACCAATTAACTTTTTCTTCTTCTTCCTCTATCATTCTAGCATTTTCCAAGCTCATCATCATCATCCTCTCAACATTCATAAAACAAATACCTGAGATTGTTGAGACGCCAACGCTAACCAGTTTTTGGGTAACAACCAGAGTAACCTTTACCCAGACACCGAGTTGGGAAGTGAGTTAAACATTGAAAATAATGATGATAACAATGATTTTGGTGAGAAGAGCTTTTTTTATCTTAATCACGATTTTAATTGTTGTACAGATGAGGATGAAAAGTGATGAATGAATTGGGAATAAGTAAACATAATCTGAGAATGGAAACATGGCTTCCTGATACAGCACTCGGAAAGGTCTTCCTCATTCAGAATCTAGTAGCTTAATTCAACTAAATTTGCTGTGAAACTCAATTTTGAAATTAATTTGTCAAATTAAAGCTACCCAACATTAATTAGAGTCACAATCACAGTCACAGTTACAGAGTTAAGGTCACTGTAGGAAGAGTTAAACAATTGCGTTTTTATAATGCACTTGGTCACTTTATTTCTGTACCTGTATCAATACAATATTATTTACTCGAAGTTCATCGGGTGAGTTAAATAATTATAATGATTGGTATCATAAATTTTATGATGTTATCTCATGTTAATGATATTCAATCAGTTATATGAGTAATTAACGATTGAATGTTGACCTGATGTAGCTTTTGTTTCCTTTTGTTTTGTCTTTCAAACGGTTTTCCAATCTGTGAATTTGAAATACTTTCAATTGAATCAATTGTAACCTGTTGACTTACTAGAATTATTATTTCTTTTAATTGGAGCAAATTCAATTCATATTCAATTGGTTGGGTCCATAATCATCATTACTATTATATACACCTTAATAAACTTTCAATTGTATTCAGTACGATGTTTGCTTTACATTATGGTGAAGTTAAATATTAAAAGTGAACAAAAGGGATAAATTTACCAAATTGTTAATTCTTTACACTAATTGTCCAAGTTAATTCCATTTTTACTGACCTAATAAAGGTGTGCCTAATTGCTTTAGGCTTAAACAAAATTAAAGTTAAACTTGATCACTTTTAATAGTTGAGGTAAGCGCGAAGAGCTCAACCGATCGGTTTCATAGATTCAATCCATTAACATTAGGATCTAATATTGAGATCTTATTGAATCCAAATCCTTTTTGGAGCAAAATTCAAATTTATAATGAAAATTAATTTTTAATTTTTTAATCAAAATTTTTCTATTCAAATATTAGTAAATTAAAAAATAGCACAATTTACAATTAGACAAAAATATATGCAATAACATGAATATGGTTCAATGTTTGATGATAATTAATAGCGATTATCATCTTTTTTTATCATTGATTAAATTGGATAATCCATTTCTTTTAATTACTCATAACTATCCGTTCATAATTAACTTAAAACAATTAAAAATAAGATGAGATAGCAGCTGAACAAAATGAACGATGAAGATAAGTTTAGGAACGATTAACAACAACATTTGTTAATTCAATTGTTTTGGGGTTGAATTTAGTATTTTTACAAACAAAAGCAAAAACAAAACAAAAAGGGTTTAGGGGAAATGATTTACAAAATATAACTGAATTACCTGTTTATACTCAAATATACAGTAACTTTCATTTAAATTACATTTATTTATAAGCTGACTTCACAATCAATCAATCATAAATAGTTGAGTTAAATTGTTAAATATATTGCAACATGATAGCGAACTGGTAGCTTCAACATAAACATTATGTTAAGAATCTTTAGTGTACATCTCAATTACACTTGTTGATTATTGTCCGTTATTATAGCAATTTGCTTGAAAATTAGCAATGTATTATTGTTGTTACTCTAATTTGGTTAACAACCTTAACAATTAACAGAAGTAACCACCAGTTGATTATGGGCTTCAAGTTTAATTATTTTGGTTCCTTGTTTCTTAATATAGGCTGTTGTCACTATTAAGTTCTGGTAGGTAAAAATGTTTGTCAGTAGTTTAACATTCATCTTTCAGTTCTGGTTCTCAGTAGCAATTAATGATCAACATGTTGTTGATATTGATGATGTTGTTGGTGTTGGTGGTGTTGATGATTCCCAGAACAATTTAACTCTTTTATCTTCACCATTAAAAAAATGTAGACGTTGGATTACCTTAAACCAATGCTCAAGGCAAATAAATACGGAATTGTTTCAACTTCACTTCCACACTAGAGGTTTAAAGATTAAATGACAATTGAAATCACGGTTGACGATTAAGAATTGTTAATTTGTATATCTAAATAATCACGTTTCAATGGATTGCTTTGGTAAATACACAATTAAATCAAACAATGCCACTGGTTCCAGTGAACCATTGTCAGTGATGTTCACTGTTGTCATACTTTAAGGTTATGGTTGTTATGGCTGTTTCAATAAGCAACCAACTGCTCATTTCAAACATAATTCACATCCAACCTTGAGCTGACAATTAATTTCTTAATTAATCTCAAATTCTTTAGGAACTTTTCATCATTATTTGCCTGTAAATAACAGTGATCGACAATTCTAGACACAATACAGTATTTTGCTTTCAAGGTTTATTGGTGTTGTTCAGCATTGAGTTGACTTGTCTCTTCGTTTGGACAACTGTGAACTCAATTTTGATTGTGGTGTTCATGTCCTAAATTGTAACCATTTCCTTTTGAATACAGAATAAGATCATAATTGATTAATTGTTCCTTCAATTAAATTTCAATTCTATTATTAACACACAAATAACAATAATAAATATTAAATTGGGGGGAGACATAAAATTAACAAGGCAGAGAAGTTTCATTTTAGTGTTGATTTGAATAATCAAGTCATGATGTTAGGTATTATTATGATTTACAAAAATTATATTACCAAGTAGATGAAAATTTGTATTATTAGCACTATTAAAGTAAAGGAAATACGAGTTAAGTTGTCATTTAACTTACAATTAATACAGAAAAAGATTTAGCAAGAATAGCATTATGATAGTAGTACAGATATGTCTAATTGTAGTGACTACAATAATTAAAACAAGAAAAGTCAATTGCAATTGCATTTAACAACAATATAATTAATTAGATAGGAAGAGGATGAAAGGCTTAAATGATGATGTTAATAATAATTTACATGATTAGACTGAAGATGCCTTGGTTTTGTCACATTTTGTCAATCTAACGTTGCAAATAATTTTGGTAAACAGTTTAATGGACATTAGATTGAGATGATGATTATTGTTTTAGCTAATATTAATGTGTGGTGAATCCAGTTAAACAAAGTAATTTGATTTAAGTCCATTTTAAAATGTTTTTGTTCTTGTTGTCCGTTGATTAGGTACGTGATTGTCGTTAAATGTTATTAAATACGGATACCAAATATGATATTAAATTAAACCAGCAAATTTGAGCCAAGAATACCAGAAAATAGGAAATAAACTCAACGCAAAAGTGTGATTCAAACAAATTGCGGCATCCATATCAAATTTCCGCAACAATTTGCCTTATTATTGGCCAAGTTATAGACAAATCATGTTATCAAATTTGGTCAACTGCAAACAAATGGCGGTGATCAACGTGATTCAATTTAATAAACAATTGTCGTGATGAGAAGAGATGATAACCAAATACGATCAAATGGTTGGGATGATGATGATACGGCGTTGAGTTGAATTTTCATCCTCGCCTATTAATAATGAAAGGTTTAACAATCTGGTTTTGGTGAAGGATATTAGTGGACTCCACCTTGATTAGATGCATGGATTATCCTGTAATCTGAGAAAAGGAAGGAAGACAAAAATTTGAATAAGAATATGAAAATTACAAATGGTAAGGAGAAGAAGAAAAAAAGAAGCCGAAAGACATTAAATTAAAATTAAAGCTTACTCACTGATAGTTGCTAATAAAAATGTCCTTTTCATCTTTCCGTTGATTTATTAATTTGGTAATTTGCCTTCTTATAAATTTAATTTTCTCTGCCTTGATTGTGATCCTTTTGTTCAATGATAATCCACACTTTTCGTCCCCCTCACCATCTTATCCAAGGATCCACCTTAAGTTATTAATTTTATCATTTCAACAATACAAGAGTCTGAACGTCACCATAAACTGCGTATTAATTATTATCATTGTCAAATAATAACAATACAATTCAAGCCAACTGATCCGTAGAAATAAGACTCGCCTAAGGTTGTCATCTCTTCCTTTTCATCTTCTTCTTCATTTTTCTTCATCATCTTTGCCGTTCTCGTCCAAGGTACACCTTTCAAAGAACCTGTTGTACTTCATTGTTAGACCCTGGAAGATACTGTCAACGACCAATGAATAGAAATTGTTTCTCTTTTCTCTTGGAAATCATGTTTTGCTTGAGCCTTCTGTCATGGAATCATCACCATCAACCAACAATAATTAAGGAAAAATTTGGTTCCGATTGGGTGATCATAACTGTACAATAATCATCCTTTTATGAAAGGCATTCATCTTTTCAAAAATTTAATTTGTCCATTCTTTACGATAATTATTTGATCAGCTTCATCAGTAATTGAATAGCTTGGATCTGTTGAAAAAGACGAAGAAAAAAAAGATAAATATTAGTACAGAGTTTGATATTATTCTAGATTTTGTAAAATCATATTAAATAACAATTCATACTCTTCTTTCATGATATTGTATTGAAATGAATGTTGAGCTTTTTTTGTTAAATTTAAAATTGTTGAAATAATAATTACTTAAATCTGTTGTGTGAAGATGAAATTACGCTTCTAATCATCTTTTAATGTAAAGCATTCAATTTTCATGCTAAAAATACATAATGAAATATCATTTTCATCTGATTGTTTAACCCGTTATTCAGTTTATTTGCAGATTTTACAATTAACTAGTCTATTGTGTGATTTGATTAAAATCGTTTAACTTTAAACTATCACTCTTTTAATACACTTTACTTTGATCTTTTAAATAGCCAAAAATAAGGAAATTGATTTGATTTAACTAATTTAACCGGAAGAAATGATCCGGCAAAACCATTTGTAACGTGTAGGCCAAATCAAATTCATGTTATATTAAGAAACAAGATGAAATTAAGAATTGATAATTGATCAGATTACCTGTAAAAAAAGATGAGAAAAAAAATATATATAATCGATTAACGTTTCTTCATTATACTCATCTTCATCACTCAATCTTGGAATCGGGAAAATCTCTTAATCAACCAAAAATCATTTACCATCAACAGTAGTTACATTTGTTATTATTAACTTGAAGATGGAAACAAATCTAACCACCATTTTTCAAGCTCAATTAAAATTGAATGATCATTGACCAAACTACTTAGCTCTTATCAACGGTTTTAAGTTTAATTTAAAGGTATAATTGTTTGAAAAAAGACGTTAACACATCATCCTTCATTCAATCATTGTTCATCATCAATATCATAGCTTGCATCAGTTCAATCAACTCCAGTTAACAATTTCATTAACAGCCATTGTTAACCGTTTGACCATTTTTGACTTTTACTTGAGACTCAATTTCAATTTTAATTATCTAACCCTTAACTGCGATCATCGGAATTACTATCATGAGTATCATGAGAAAAGTCAACAGGAGAAATGACATTTTTTGTATATAAATTTCATCAAGTCACCATGATAGCCATTTGATACAGAAAATGAATTGTTTGATCTGTCTTCTTCCGATTTTAGGTTATTATCAAAATATGAATAAACTGATAGACATAATAAACAATCAATAATCTTTTTTCTTTCAATAATGAGAATGAACTTTTCCATTTAACATTACTGAACTATTATGTTGCTGTTAAAGGAATTGTTGATAATTACCATGATGAGATGACAGCTAAATGAATACTGATTATTGATATGATTAACTGAAACAGAAAAAAAAATCTATCATCATGACCTTTTTAACATGAAAGGCTTACAATACTACGCATTTTGTGTTACCAACCCAAAACTCACAGCATTATAATGAAATCATGTTGATTAACAATGGATGAAAAATATAATGAATCAATCAACAGATCATAGTTATTTAACTTTTTGATCCATTGTTCACGGCTGAGCTAATTATCTGACCTAATCAATTCAAAAATTAGCTGACCGCCAACCCTTGTTTACGATTGTAATACCTTGAATTATCTCACCTACCTTAAGTCAAATTGATAATCCATGTTAACTTTAATTAACAGCTAATGATGGCATTCCATGATTTGCTTTCAATTAAACAAAAAGATACGATTGCTTGAAATCGGCGTAATGAGATTCCATTGATTCTGGTATATTGATTGGATGATTGCGGATGGCTACCAATGGCTTTGTAAAATAAGATGTTAACTGTGGTTGGGGAACGCATTGAAAACCGGCCAAATTCACAATATAACCGTCAAAATTGTTAATCATGAAAGATCCAAGCAGGCCACAGGTAGGACTCTATAATTAACTATAATAGCAATCGTTCACAGTTTGATAATCATTAGAGAAGGTAAGGCAAAGAATCAGCGTAAATACGATTAAATTGGAAAAACATGATTCAGAAATAATAAGTTTCTAATCGTGATTGTGTTTATCTTAATCAACTTACATCGTATTTACAAATTAAATTACCTTTTTTTTCCTCCTGCTTTTGCTTTTCTCGCTAAAAAATGAAATGGATAGATGATGTTGTTGATGTTGATGATAATGATGATAAAAATGGTCAAGAAGAAGAGAAATGTCCAACATTTTTTAATTGAGTTACAATGTTTTGTTTTTGCTGCTGCTGCCGTGTTTACCCTTTGCTGGTCTTTCTTTCAGTCTAAAGGCATCGATCACGAATTATTATTTCCACCAAGGAAGTTTAATATTGATGATGACCTATCATCATTGATGGTTTGTTTATTCACCTATCATGATGATCCACAATCAAGATTGCAGGTTTACTGTTGTTCAATCAACAGAGTGAAGCTGCTGAAAAGATAGAGGGAGAGAGAAGAAACAAAAGTCAGAATACGGTTAAATGTTTCAGTTTTTGACTTAACTCACATTATTCAGTTATTCAGTTAAATTCGATATATTATTTACTATTTTTATCTACATTTTTGGCCTCTTACTTTCCGTGGTTCATCCAAATTAGCTTGCTTGATCATGATTCAATCGATAGGTATTTTAAGCCTAAAGTAGATAAAGATGAAATATAACCAAAAAATGTGTATCAAAAATTTAACTCATTTCTGGTTGTTTACTGATTAAAGATGAAAAATTGGTTTACTTTGAATTAATAGCATCTTTTTTCTTTCTTGTTATTCATGTTTTAAATCAAATAATCACCACCATGATGATGTTGAAGATGATGAATGTGAAGATGCATATGAGTTGTTATGCCTTCTTCTGGTTACATATACACTTTGCTTGCCAATAAACGATTGACCAACTAATCAAAAGAGATACAACGATTACTAAACGTGTTTATATTTAACACTAAAACAGATGTTGTTGCTGAAACTGTTAACTTGATATGATTAATATATATTTATGAATAGATTAGAACACAATTTAATTACAAATATAAATTTGATTTGAAAGGCGCATTTTTAAAACAAAAACAATGGTTCAACTCATTCATTACACATGACATCGATATGCCATCGATTAATCTTATTTTAACGGCTTACAATTAGCAATCTCTCCAAGCCATTGCACTTTAAGCCAAGCTGATTCTTTTCAATAGACTATTCGTATTTACTTAAGCTTCACGCATTTAAAATCGTATTTATTAATTGATCTGTTAATTCTTTCCAAGTAAATGTTGATTATCTGATTAACCTGAAACCTGTAAGTATTAAACTTGATAATTAAATTGTTAATTTCAGTGATAGCTGACCAGAAAAGCGTTGAAACCACACCAAATGGACATTCATAACATCATTTTCACCAATCGTTTTTTGTGTTTTTCATTTATACTATTTAATTTAATCTTTTTTTTCATTATCGACCCGATGTGACCATCTAGGCATCAACTATTGACCGATTGAAAGGATCAACTACCAATTGTCCAGAAGAAAGCGTTAATTGTTTCTCCAAACATTCACTCAATCTTAAACAATGTTACACTTGCATTGACAACACAAATGGCTGACAAGCAGTTAATCCTTGAACACCAACCGTTTATCCTGTTGATTGATTGAGACTAAAGTGTTTGACTGAATAAACCGTGAGGTTACATTTGATTTCATTAGGCTTATTGATCTGGTCTAATTTAAATTACTCGGGTGGAGCAGTTGATACAACATTTAAATGTTGTATATATTTGACTAAACGTATCAACCAACACTTATACACTGTATTTTAATAGATGGTTACTCACAAAATGGTAACCATTATGATGTAATTGTTAAAGGTGAACAAGTTTATTTCATCAGGTAAAAAAAGAATGACTTGCCAAATGAAACGAGAAGATGAAAATCACCCAAGCCTTTCCTTTCATCTAATTGTAGGTTTACTCCATTTTGAACCATTTTAAAGAACTGACCGAGGCCAGCATTTAAACTGTTCACAGCTAAACTTATAACCACGGTTTTGTTAATGATAATAGCGATAATATTATTTAATATAAATAATAATTCGACTCAAAATTAACATCATGATACATTTAATATGGAAACCTAATAACAAAATGTGACCTCAATTCAATTAATCTTTCCTTCGTAACAATTCAATCCCTCAACATCTAATTTCGTGTTAAAAACTAAGGTAAGAACAAAAATTCATATTCTGTGATTATCTAATGATAATGGTTAAATAATCTCAAATTACACCATTTTTACAACCGATTACCTCAGCCTCAAGGCATTTCTTGTACAAAAAAAAACGGGTTGCAAAAACAAAACATTGATTCTCTGTCTGGTACTGCAAGTTATTCAATACCAGCAAATTATCAATATTATATGATTAGACTGAATCAAGTTGATTTACAACCAACAGAATACATTTGCAATGATAAACAGTCCAAGAAAAACAAACAAACAGTGAAAGTTGCCCAAACAAAGTCATAACTAATCATGAAATTTAACCTCACAGGTTGGTTACCAATGAAACAGATGGACCCATCCCAGGTCAAGACACTAAGGTTAAAGTTCACCCAGCAAAACTGTAAACTCAATGGTAAATCAGTGTAAATCAGTATGTATAATCACGTTTCAAAAAATTGATCTCACCTCACTTTTACCCAAAAATAAACCAGAGTTTATGGTCGACTCAAGGAAACACGAAAAGCAAAACCCAAAAGCTAATATTTTTCCCATTCCTAATATTTGATTTACAATGAATTGACAAATTTTTCAAATTTTTTCACCCAAAACAAGTAAACACAATTTGATTAACATCCAAATTGTTTACCATTTAAGCCTAAACCCAAAGTTAAAGTCAACCCAAAAGTCAAGCCAACAGTCAACCCAAAGTTGAGTCTAACTGATGGTCAACTTGATTCATATTATTTATGATAATCTTTTAATGTGGTTTTGATCATCTAATGTTAATCAAGCTGCAAGTGTTGCTCCTAAAAATATGCAAAAACAAAAAAACGGATTGTTTTTTTTCTGATTAATCTTCTACCTTTACCTCAACTTACAATTACGCATTAATTTAGACAACATTTAGTTATATTTATTATATTTATTTGATTCAATATAAATATATAACCAAGAATAAATTGTAATTTGAAAAAAAAGCGAAATGTTTTAAATGAAAAGAGGTAAAGTGAAAGTAAAGGTTTTTTAATATTAACCAACACACCTTAACGCTACTTTCATTAATCGGAATCAGTTTTTCATTTCTTGTTAAATTGTTAACTTTTAAATGATTTAAACAAATTTTTCATCTCATATTTTACTCTTGATCATCATCAACCTCATCTTCGTAATCAATTTAGCAAATTTAACCAGTTAAACCAAATTGTAACAACTTATATCAAGTCTACTGACTTCTGTTCCGAGTCTTATTTTTAACAGCTTTTCTCCATCTTTAGCTGTGTTACGGTGGATTTAAAAATTGATTGTAACTAATCAAATTGAGTCAACTGTTTTAGCTTAACTGCCAAATTATTGACAACACACCTTATAATGATTATAATTGTACTAAATTGTTGAGGATAATCAGGTAGCTTTGAAGACTTTCAAGCTTCTGTACTAACCAGCCTTGAGTTACAGCTGTTTATTCAGTTTGTCAATTGTTGACTTTTTGGTGTTTTCATCTTTTCAAACCAACAGAAAGACCAGAAAAAATTGGGTTTACAGAGATGAACCAGAAAACCCAAAAGCAACTTGTTTTTAGCCAAGATTAAAGATAGTGAAAGTATTAGGAAAAAGCGATTCCCATTTTTGATTAACTATTTTAAGCAAATGTAATCATGTAAATCAATTGTTACACCAAACTGTAGACTTTCACATTTTTTTAATGGGTAAATGGTCAAAACACAATTGACCAGTTTTAATTTAGATCACCGCTGATTCAGTTGATAGTTGAAGATGGTGATTGTAATTGTAATCTCGATGCCAAAAGATGTTAAATGATGAAGGAAGAAGCTGAAATAAATGGATTAACTGATTAATTTTTCCTGTTGATTCCTGTTGATATGAACCCGTTGTTTTAAATTAACATCCTTATTTTGTGTTCATTATCTCATTCATCTTACCTATTATTGTATTTTCACCTTAATTTAAATTGCTATTAACTTGTTCCTTACCTTAAAATTTGCCCTTTTTTTCAATACCTTTAAGCTTCTCAGGTGAAGTAAAAGTAGAAACAAAAAAAGGTTAAAATGAAAAGCAAAAAACATTTAACCTTTTCACTTTTCATTAATTGTTGTCATCTTTATATTAATCAACAAAAATTGAATACAATGTTTCCTTGAATCATCTTAAACCAATTCCCTAATAACAAATCATTAAAAGCCATTATTATATTAACCATTACTGAACAATTAAACTTAACATTTGAAAGCAAAAGGTTGAAACAAACTGTTGATTCAACAAATGAAAGCTAAACACTTCTATTAGTGTTAATCAATCGACTGTTGATTTACACAAAATACAATTAAAAGCTAATCAATGTTTAGCAAATTTAAATTTAAAATGAACACAAATATGAATATAATTAGTGGATAACCGCACAATCGGTTTTAATCAAAATTCATAACCAATTTTGAGCCAAAAAATGGGATCAATTGGATTAGTAAATTTTGTTTGATTTAACATTTTTGTCAATTTTGTTTTAACAATATTTTTGAATGTAAATTGCAATTAACTGATGGATGAATCTTAAATGTTGTTGGATAACAAGTTTACAAGGTTAATGATGATAATCAAATGTTGACGTTTTGCTAAATGTTTAATTGTAACTCTCATCAATCATCTGATTGATAATAAGAGTTACAATTAGACGTTATTTAAAAATAATTTTTACCGTTAAAATTGAAGAAGCAATTGAAATGAAAAAGATGAAAAAGGTTGGAAAACAAATACAATTAACAATCGATATTAAATTTTGATTTCCTCAATGATTACAATCGGAAAGGGTTTGTAAAAGAGTAACAATTAACTGATTAACCAGATTAATGAAGGTGATTCAACAAATTGAAAGGAAAGTTTAGCTTTTTGTTTGAAAATTATTAGCTTTAGCTTTGTAGTGATTATTTGTTGAATAATAATTCATTTGCTTCAATTGCATCTGATTGTGATTAGTGAAGCAAAATTAACTTCTCTCTTGCGGTAATCATCTGTATTGATTGTAATTTTTGATTAAATTAGATTGAATTGAGAAAGGAAAAGTTAACCATTTGGATTCAATTAAAGCCACCTACAGTTGATTCAATTTTCATCTTATTTTTTTCTGTATCATTTAAACATTCATATTTAACTGTATTTCAAGTTAAACCATTTGCAATAATTGCAGAAAAAAGGTTAATTTAATTTGATTTATTAATAATGATAATTGTTCAATGTAAAGGGAATGATGACTAAATGAAGCTATTTTGGTGGTTAAAGGTTTCATCAAAGTTCAATAGATATTTTCATCGTTTTAATGATTTTAAATTGATTCAACATTTAGCTTCGTTTTGACTAAACAGTTTATTAATTTTGATCACAGTTCATTCAATTTTCCTCGTTATTTTTAGTCTAATTTCAAGTTTCACTATTGATATATTGATTGGGATCAATATCACTGATCACAGTTCAAACCTTCATGCAATGTCAGTCATTTTAATGAAAATTAATGAAAATGGTAATTCAGAGTTCAGGCCTTCTCTAAATTCAGGATGAAAAGAGCCAAAGATTCAGGATTTCCAAGACAAGATCGTTTGTTGTTTGTAATGGCATGGGTTCAATTTTGGTTTCTCTTTCAATTCCAACTTGATTTGTTTCTGTAAACATTTGGTATTTAAGTCTAAACACGAAATGAGATATGATTTAAGGATCTGATTGTTTTTAATTCAGCTGACAAACTATATCAATTGTAAATGAATATTTGCAACGATTATTCAATATTTCACGTGAAAAGCTTCATGTTACAGATTTAGTTTCATTTTTGACTTTGTTGAAAGGATTCACCTATTGTATGACTTTCAATATTTTGTTACAAATTTCCAGTTCAATCAAGTGAATCATTGTTTCAATATTGACTGGTAACTACTTTGATGACTAAAACTTTGGACTGATTTGACTCAATGGTTTATCAATAATCAGTTGATCACTCAGAGATCAAACTTAACATCGGGTTATTTTACATTAACCATTGTTACTGTTGGTTAAACCAGAAATATAACCAGAAATGCAAGTCGCACCAAAAACATTAGCCATCGGTTTGATTTAAAGCTGATAAGGTTGAATCTTTTACACAAACTTGAATAATTAATGAAACTCTGGACTGATTGTGTGCTTACAATGGGACAATCAACTAAAGGAAAGGTAGGCGCATTAACATACAATTAACAGTTTACCTTTTCTTGGTTAAAAATATCAATAAGATAAACACTTGAGCAATCTTAATATTAACTCTTTGTGTGTGTCTTTTCTTGCTATTACAATAAAATAACCTTTTTTTCACTCCTCAATCAAGGTTGACTATTTATTGATGATTGATTGAATAAAAATATCTATATATTTAATATGAAAATAAATATTTAACTGTTAGTCTGTTGTGTCTGGGTGACACTTAATATTCATATAGTTTAACGGTTACCTGATTCTAATTGTTGTTCATTCATTATTTTTCCATCATTACTATTATTACAACAATAAGTAGGATGTAAGATTAACATCTTATAATACCTTTAAAACACACACACTTTGATTGTATCAACAACAAGGTAACCAATAATATATAAGACTAATTGGGTGTAAATTGTCAACATTTATTTACCTTTTTTTCACTCTTTATTTTTTTTGGGTAAAATCTGGTTTTTTAAACTTTTAATTGTTGTTGGGTAAACATGTAAACGATAGTAAGTTGTTGCCTGAATTTTAATATTGTAATGGCAACATTTAGGTTAACCATTCAGGCTTCCGTTGTTGATCCGAATCAAATTAATACTCATCTTTCATCCTACTCTTGAACAGTCTTAAAATATTGGATTAATTGTTGGATTAATGATTTAATTTTCACCTTGAAAATTGAGAGTTCAAATTGATCCAATTGTTTGCCTTTAACAAATTGTCTCAAACAATTTAAACTCTTCATTTGACATTGAAGCTTTCATATTTAGAAATGTTCAATTAAACTCCTTTTTTACTGAGTTAACCCCTTTAATTGTAAAATTTTAAAGCTAATCAAAAAGGTGGTTAAATACATGAAGAGCCAGAAGTGAGTTGAATAATGAAATGGATTGGATTAAAAAATGGATAATTTAATATCAATATGAGCCAATTGAAGGTTAACGGTTATTCAATTTGAATTAAATTAATAACAATGTTAAAGGATAAAATTGTATTAAATAATGTTAATAATAGAAATAATTTCAATTCTCAATCGACAGTCAAGTTTGAAACAGTTTTCAGTGAATTGGGTTTAGTGATTGTAAAGATGGTAATAATAGCAATCATTGGTTGTCGGTGATGATGATTAGGAATGATTGTGATTATGTTTACATTTGATTGTCCAAGTAAAATTAATGTTTGAAATGGTTAAAAAGTGAAGGATAAATCAACCGTTGGTGACGCTTTTGATTCACTAAATACAGGTGAAAGAAACTGTTTACTGGAAACAATTCAAACAAATGAAATTGGGTTTCTTTAGTTAATGATAAACAGAGTAGAAGCACAGAAGGAAGATGAAGACCTTTGAAGATGTTTCAACAGCATCCAAATCAGGTCAATCTATCAACCCTGTAAGTCAATTAGTCCAAAATTTATTCAATCTTCATGTAGACTGAGTAGGTCTACTCATCAGGACAAGCTGGAATAGTTGATGTAGATGAATCTGGTGGAGAAAAATAAATGTAAAAAGATGAAATTAGTTGATGAAAATTGAATCAAACTGTTGACAGGTCAAGTGTAATGTTACCTGTTTGTTTCTTAAAATATCAAAAAAATGCTATCAAACTTATGTTGTTAATAACCTCTCCTTAAAAAATATTATTTCAACTGATTGTTTAGTTGAACAATTTAAATAAAAATACATTGCGTGATCACTGTTTGTCTCTATTTTACTACCAACATCAATTTAACTGCTATTAATTAGATGACTGATGAAATTGAAATTTCCTTGTTAGCCCAACATTGACACTTTGATAATTTGTTTGTGAAAAAAGGTGAGTAATAGTAGATTCAGTTTACAATGAAGCACAATTAGAAACAAAATGAGACAATTTAATGTACAAATTTAGTTGAACATTAAATTGTATCATCTTAAAGTCATGTTAAGCTTCAAATTTACATACAAAGTGACCTTCAATGTGATCTAATTGAATCCATCAAATGTCCTTTTACAATGTAAATGTAAAAATTGAGTTCAAATGTTGACTGATAAATAGCATCTTATCCAGAAAAAAAGGAGATTTAAATTGAAGAGATTAACATAAACCACTGAAGGATCCAAGTCCGGTGGTTACCTGATGGGAAAGATGATAATGCAGATGATGAATGTAACAAAAAAAATTCAAAGTAACTTGAACAATAAATAGGTAAAACCGTGCTAATAAATCGGCTCTCAATGATCAACTAACCGAGAAAAGGCAAAGAAAGGTAAATAAAGCAGAAAAAGAGATTGAATATTTTCTTCATTTTTTTCTGTTATTGTAACAATCAACTAACTAGTAACTACTATTTGCAACTCAGCTAATGTGTATTAATAATAGTATCCTCTAATAATAATAACAACGAGCAGTAACGATGATAAAGACTGATAATAATAATGTCATGAATAATATCATAAATAATATGCCAAATAATAAACAATAATAATTATCTGACCTCAAGGACATGAAAAAAAGTAGAGAAAAAGAAAGCAAAAAATGAAAATTTTGGAAGGTCAGATTAACCCAAAAGTAAGCGAAACCAAATCAAGGTAAGGATGTGATGGACCAGATTTCTGGTTACTGATAAAACATTGTGGCCACCCTGAATAATTGAAACCAGTTAACCAAAAAAAAACTCATGGACCAACTCCTAATAATTTTCACTTTGATTCCAAAATTGTAGTGATTGCTGATTAACTGAAAAAAATGGGGAAAAAAGGTTAAAAACAAGAAATTTCAATATTAATCCAACTACTCACAATTTGTGGTCCAACGATCCTTGGGTTTTCCTGTGTAACATTACGGCAAGTGAAAAAAAAATTCACCACTGACCTACCTAATGGTAAAAAAGCAATCCTCATCACTTTATCATCTTTACCCACCCTTCTCTTCCTCTTTGCCATCATTTCTCTTCATTTTCAATACTTATGTATTATGTATTTGATGTAAAAAAGCCTGTTTGTCCTCCGACAGCGCGTGGGTATGCGCTTCAAGTTGCCTCCCAAGTTGGATGACGAGTCATGTTAGGTGAGCAGGAGAGATCTGAGGAAGGAAGAGAGGGAGAAAAAGAGAGAGAGAAATGATGATTATGATGATGATGAAGGAAAGAAGTTGTTGTTTAGTGATACGTTGTTACTCGTAGCGGTCTGTTGATTTGAGATGGCTTTTTATACTCATTGCCATCTGACCGATCTTCAATATTTACCTTTCATTTCTTGTTTTTTTTGTCACCATTTTTCCTTTGTTTCAATTCCAGTTTTCACTTTCTTAAAAACAATTAATTCTTTGGCCTATTATCAGTGATTATCAACTTTTGGTTATCCACTTTATCCAGTGATATTTAAAAATTTGTTTCAATTATCCATGGATTTATCAAGTTACAAATGAACATCATTCAGTTTATCAGTTCGATGTTTGCGTTTAATCAGTGCCTTGCATCGTATTAGTGAATTATCAGCGACCAACAGCAGATCACAATGTGTTGTTTTGTTTTCCGCTGTTTTTCATAACAAAACGGAATATATTTTATCAGCTTAAAACCATTTTGTCCATCAACATTTTTGATCGATATTATTTATTTATTTTTGTTTGAGGGATTAACAAGTGGGATTAATGATGCATCTTGAAGAAACAGACGGATTTGGAACGTTAAATGAGTCCAAAGTTAAAAAAATGACCAATTGGACTAATATATTTAATCATTGGAAACGTAGAGGTAAACCTAAAAACGGTGTCATTGGCAGCAATACAACAATAACCAACGGTAGTTTGGCGATGAGCCATCCAAACCATCCTCAAGTTTTACACAATCAACATCTTCATCATTCAAATCAATTTCATCCAGCTCATCCTCCATACCAGTTTGGATCGCTTGCTGTTAGACACAATGGATCCGGTTTACCAGGGTTAATTGAACAGTACAACTCTTCAATAGATGGTGGTGGTGGAGGAGGAGGCGGAGGTGACGTGAGGTATCAAAGACAGTCAGGTTTACATGGACGTGCAAATAAATTTGCTTCAGTCTCAGCAGGAACAGCCAATTTTTACCTGGCCTACCCAACCGGTCCCCCATTATTGGCACCAAATCAACCATCTTCATCACCAATATCACCTTCTTCCCTCAATGTTCGGTATCCATCAGCATCACCAGCAGCTTTACATTCATCAATCCGTCCAACCTCAGGTCGACATCACAGAACAAACATACTTTCAACTCCATGGGAACCAATGATGCAAACCACAAATCCATCTTCTAATCACAATCAATCAGCTGAATGTACGTGTTGTGATTCAATGGGAACGGGTCAAGGGAGTGTAAAAACAGCTTTAACCAGTATTAAATCAACTGGTTCAGTCAGATCACGGTCATCTCTCAAATCATCATCATATTGTGCTTCCAACTTTGATGTTGTTGACCAAACTATGTCAGCAGGTTTACATCATCAACATTCATATGTGCAACGGAATCACGAACCTATTGGTAAATCAATTAAATCAAATACATCCTCAACTCGATCCCATCGGACAGTTTCATTTGCAACTGTTAATGAACGATTTCTCAAAGTACTTAAAAGATCAGTTAAAAATCCATCCGGATCTGTAGTATCGAGAAGATCAATTCTTGAATGTGATTTAACAGCTTATGATTTGATTGAGCAAAGTTTACATGAGACTTGTATTGAAGATGAAGATATTGTTGTTGATGAAGAGAAAGAAAACTATCATTACAATGATTCCATGGAATGTTTAAGTGATGAAGAAGAAAGTGAGGACATCATGGATAGACATAGATTGAATCAAGTTATTCACGATGTTTCAGGTTCAAAGAAATACCAACGTCGTTCTCGTCACTGTTCACCTTCTCTGTCATCATCAACAAAAGGACTTCATTCCATTCCAAATAGCAGTCGAAATATGTTACCACGGCTAGGTGAATCGTCCCTTAGATATAAACCTAGAGTCAAAGCGATCTCAAGTGTTGATCTTTCTCAAAAGTCCATAATAACTGATGGTAAAGCTAGTTTGAAAAAAGGGTTACGGATTGGAGGACAAGGAATGTCTCTTTTTCCTTCGGCAGTGGAAACTAAAGCTTCATCAACCTCAGGCGTTGTTAAATCACGAAGCTCTGAATCAATTTTGTCTGCATCAGATAAATCAAGTTCAATTACCAGTTCTAATCTCACCGATCGACCAGCCTCATGTCTCTTATTACCGCTTCCTGAACCTGATTATGACAGTGAAACTGGAAGTGACAATGATGCCAAGCACAGAGGTCAGAAAATTATATCTAATGGATCAATTTCACGTTCTTGTCCAAGAATTTTGAGTCAAGCTCAATCCTTTACTCAATTGAATGAAAGTGAACCAACAACCAAAAGTGACTTTACCAGTTCAAGAGCCAATTTTATAGAGACTCGGTCCCTTGATCGCCGAGGTAAACGTAGGACACAATTAAAGCAATCAATGTCATCAAGTTCACTCTCTGGAAATGCAAATGGTTTCCAAGAAGATGTCACAATGGATGATCACAACTCCCTTAGGCAATTAGGTTCAAAATTTGATGGTTCTTCAACTATTTCAATCCCAAGTGATGTTAATTACATGGCCAAGGTTAAATCAATTTTGAAGAAATCAGTTACTTGGAACGAGTCAGTGACTAAGACTCATTCATTATCAAGTGATTCTAATTGTGATACTACCTATGGATCTACCAACAGTGATAGTGATTTTTCAAGTTATCGTAAGTGTTCATCTTCAGTTTTAGCTAATAGTATTAGTACTCTTCCAAGAGTAAGAGGTCGTTGGTCATCATCATCAAGTGAAAGGTCAACAATAAGTGCCAATGGCGTGAAAGGACCAAAAATAAAGAAACATGTTCACTTTGGATGCTCCAAGGATGATGATAGCTTAATTATTGAGCATATAGGTGAAACCATTTTTGAGGAAGATGAAGAACCAATTTACGATGATATTGCAAATGTCATTTCAAACGACCTTTCACCTGGCCTTCATCAGCAAAACAGTCAATCTCAACCTCAGTGTCAACCAGCAACAGCTCCATTCTCTCGGTTACCTCAACCTCCGCCCCCACCTCCTCCACCACCGCCGCCTCACTCATCGTCTAGTTCATTGACTCCAACTTCACAGACACCATTATTATCCTCTTCATCAGCTGTCCATTCGAAAAGTCTAAACGGAAATTATAAAAGATCGTTTGAATCAGATGTTGATAATAACGGCAATGATGAGGTTAATGGAAGCAACGGCAGTGGTAAAGGCGGAAATAAATTACAGGATGACCGAGTCAATGAGCTAACCAATGGATTCTCATCAGCAGCTAAAACAACAAGCTCAGGAACTGATGAGGAAAATAAAGGAGTTTCAACACGACGTGTCTACGGAGTTTTAGACACAGGTAAGTCACAATCTTGTCCCTATTTTTTTGGGTCGTAAATAGATCAATACGTGAATCAACTAGATAATCACAAGGTTTGCTTAAAATTAGCCCAAACAACACGAAACAGCTGAATTTATGTCAATCATTTCCAAGCCATTTTATTATTATTTTGAGAAATTTGCATGTTTGTTTTGTTGGGAATGCATCAAATTAATCAAGCTTATTTTTGTTAATCTTCTTATTCAGGGTGACCTAGAAACAAAAAAGAAAGGTGACGATGTTAGTTGATAATTTAATTTAATTACAATTATTGATGATGATTAGAATAAAGTCAAGTTTTTGTGAATTTGTCCCATAATCAAATCTAAAGTTATGTTGAAGGGCCGAGAGAAAATATAAACATGTGCACATAACGTTAAGAAAAACGGTTTGTCATTAAAGTTAACTACTGACCTGTCTTTTTCTGGCATCTTGTTCGTCATCTTAATTGTTCACGCATATGATGCTATCTTCATTGAAAGATGAAGAATAATTCTGATGATGAAGAAAAGAAGGAAGAAAATAAGATGAAGCAAAAAGATTGGGAAAGAGAGATTGTTGTTGAATGGTTATGACCATTATATGTGAAGTCCCATTGTTTTGTCCAAGGTAAGAGAAAAACTAAAACAAGATAAAATGAATAGTATTAATTAAATTGACGCTTAATTATAATTGTCCACTTCACTTGACAAGATAGTTTCACTGATTTAGGTCATCTTTAAGTTTTATAAGACAAAAAACTCTGTAAAACTTCTCAAGACAGTCACACACAAACATACACAATCCAATCCTTAAGCCGTCCGCCATCATTAACATTACAAACATAATTGGACAAACCCGGCTTGGCTTGATAAGCTGTAAAATTGTAAATGATGTTTACATGATTGAATTACGTGTTAATTTTTTCCGTTTGCTGGAATCATCTTTTTGTTTTACTTTTCATCATCTAGTTTATTGTTGATAAAGAGTTAGATTAATGGTTTACAATAAAATTACTGAATCATTTTTTCCTGTTAATCATGCTAATCTAACAGTCAAGTTAATGTGTTTGAAGCTTTTTTAAAACCCAAAACAACGACAAAAGGAATGGTCAACCTATTTTAATCAACTTTACATTTAATTACTCTTTGATTTTGCATTTTATTACGAGTGGATTTTTCATCACGAAATCAGGATTATTATATTAAGGTACAACAGTGGTCATTGAATTGCTTCTAATTTGAATTTTCATTCTCAATCAGATGTTATGCAAGGTAACACACACAAGTGGTTTGTTCCAGTTTCATTTCAACCTTTCAAAATGCAATTTTTGATTTACGCGAGTCGATTGTAATTAAATGATGGACAACTCAAATATTATGATTAGCTCATTGTTTCACTCATTGAATGGGCAAGTGTTAAATAGACTCAATAATCAGCAATGTTAAATATTAACTTGCCAGTAAAGAAGCGTATTCTTGATTTCAATCTTGATTGATCATTTAATTGGTTTAAAGCTTATTTTTCTCAGCCTTTTTGAATTCACTTGTAACAAAATCAGATACGTTTGCTTTTCTTCTGCAACTAAGATCACATATTACGATTACATTCGTTAATTAACAGTTAGAAACATAACAAAAAAACATGATTTACTTGATTAACCAAGATTTCTCTACTGAAGCAAACCAAATGAAAACTGAAGATTGAGATGCTTTGGGCAAGTTTGAACAGGTAAATCAGTAACTAAAAGCTGCTAATTACATCTGTCATTTCACAGTTAACAAAACAAACAATCATAAACAAGGGGGAAAAGTTGTTTGGATGACCATAAATTTGACCTGAATCATTTTTTTTCCTTATTTCCTACAATCCTGCATCTAGAACGATAATATCGGGATTAAGTGTCGACTGATATGTTGCCTGATTATCACTCTTGTTAATTGAATGTCTCTTCCTTGTCTCCTAATGATTGTTAAAACACAAATGGAATTGTCAACCGAAAGATCATACATTAATGAATTCACAATCCAAAAGAAATCATGTTTCCTTCGTCACCCAATCACCTTATCATTTGAAATTCAGTTACTCAATCTAAATATCTTCAGGTAGTTTTGTCTTTAAAGAGTCATTGAATATCGTTGAAAAAACGCCAATTCTTGCTGCATAATCTTTAAATCCAAACTCAAACGTAAGATTAATGTTGCTGTGATTTTCATTAAGATGAAAAATATCTGCGAATTGAAACCAAAATATTCATTACCTAATCAAAGAGAAAAGACAAGAGCAATTAATAACTGATAGATCAATGTACTTGTTTGTTTAAAATTATCAAAAGTGATTCCGTTTAACATTTAGATATGATTTACAAATTGCAAATTAACATGATGGGATAAATTGAAATGATGTAAAGTTGGGGAAAAAAGAAGTAACAAGTGATATTAACAAATTCACTCATCAAACAGGTAAACTTAATCAAATCAACCTCAATTACAGAAGCTGTGGGTTGATTCACTTGATTAATCGAAATTTTATTAACTCTTACCGTAAAACTAATTTATGAAAATAAATGCAGACAAATTTAAATTGAATTATAACGCTAGTCCAATCAAATGAGCAACTGAATATCAGCCATAACCAGCAACAATGTGCATGTAAATTGTACCAATCAAAGAGTAATGGATCCACAGAGGTTTCCACAGGATCATTCAATGTTTAGGAACAATTGAAGCGTGATAGAAGGAAATGTTGACAATTACGATATTAACATGAGGATATTACGTTGATGATAGTTTATGGGCTATTTTACGAGCAAATCAGTGATTCCAATGGTACTTTTGCACTTATATTGAACGAGACCGTCTCCAAAGATGTTATCCTCTATTGTAGTCTTCATTATAATTCCAGGAGAGATTATCAATTTTTATTTCATCTTTACGATGATTCCTTTGACCAAGATTGTTGGGTTAATGTTTTGCTCTTGTAATTCCTGTGATTTCCTTTAATAGTTACCATCATCATTACTCTGGAATCCAAACAATTGATGTGTTACACATTGAATAATCATTGAAGCTAGAGTAAAAAGAGAGAGAAAAATACATTAAGTTAATGATGATAATAGTTGAAAGCAACAATAGTTTTTGTTTTCACTGGTTAGGAAATTTCAACAATAAAATGTTAAATTTGGATTAAATTGTAAACCCTTCAATGTTAATAGTTTACTTACAAGAACAATTTGCGATATTTCAACCACCAAGAAATAATCTCGGTTGAATATTGATATTGATTCAATTTGGTAAACAGTCGCTGATTTGCTTGCAGATAAGCTTTGATTGTAGCTTTAGCCTGTTGTGTTTTATAGTTGATTGTACTCATTTACTGAGTACGCAATATTTGAAAGTTATTAATATTCACACGCTAAACATGATCGTGTATTGATTATGCTTATGAATGTCTAATATTTGACTTTGAGTCACGTTAATAGCTGCAAGGTGTAAACCAAATTAAATCGGATTCCATATAATTTATTAGGATTATCACCATCATCATTCTCATCATCAACATTATCATCTTCTTCTGCGGCAATGATGAAATCAAATTTAGTTATTGATTAACGTTTCAAGTGGATATTAAGCCAACAATCAGGTAGTTAACCAGCCTTCAATGATAACTTTTACCAATTTAGTGTAACTAAAATGAAAAGAGAAATTTGAGAGAAATTTATTATTAAAAAATTGTTAAGTTGTGATTCAATTTTATCAGTTAATTACATTTTCTCAGCTATTTCAAATATATCAAGATCAAACCATCATCATCATCTTTCTACTATTATTACCATTATGATTATTAGTAAAAAAATATAAGGTATTATTACTGTTATCAACATGATAACGCTACTTTAACAATTTATTTTTAGCAATGGTAAACAAAATTCAATCAACAGTTGTTATTACAATTTGAATGTTCATTTGAATGAGATTTCATTTACAGTTGTAAGTTGTAAATTGAAATGATGAGAAATAAAAAATCTCATTGACACCGTAAAACACTCATCATTGACATACAGAACAAGAAAAGGAATCAATTTGATTATAACTGTTGCGGGAAACAATTAAACATTAAATTGAAGAGAGTGAGAGATGAAATGAAAAATCTCAAAATAAAACTCGCCTATTTTCAGCTCGAAGTTGAATCAAGAAATTAAAAGCATTTTTTCCTAGAAAATTAGAACGGTAAATGGACGCTATTTAATCGGCTGAGACTCTTGAAATTGATGATGATGATGATGATTGTCATTTCATTAGAAGCTGCGAGACGGAATTGGATTCTTACCAATTTAATGACTGATGAAATTGCAGTGAGAAACAGTGCATTCTTCACAGCATTCATCTCTTCCTCTTTTTAGACTTTTCAATAACTTTTCTTTCTTCATGATAGCCACCAAATGAATGATGTTTCCAGATTTATAGTTAATCACTGGAAAAAGTTAATCTTTCAACAACGTTGTGTGAATGTGTATAATGCCCTGGTTACAAGGTTGAAGCTCAGGTTGAAATGAAAAGGATAACAGCGGATAAAGATACTTCACAAAATGAACATCGAATTATTTCTTTTTCTCATTGAATACACCATTTTGTCCTTCAGATTGGAACCGTCATACAGGGTGGATCAATTGTACCTTTGAATGAAAAGATATAAAAAAAGAGTTAAGAGCAAGGTTAATACAGAATCAAAATTGAAAGGGAAAAGAAGAAAGAAAATAAAAAAAGATTGTTATTGAGTTGTAAAATTGCTTATTATTAAATCATAGTTGCAAACCAAATCGCGGTCAGCTTACTGATTACTGTTAACTGTTATTTTTCAGGTTTACTAAATTGAAAGTATGGCAAGATCGGTGTTACGAATCAAGATATAAATTTAGATAAGGGCTCAATAATACAAATGTAACAACAGCATATTGGCGATAGTGATAGTACAATCACAATATGAACAATCAAGAGTGGAAAATTGAAAAAGGCTAAAAATGAAGATAACAGTGATTCAAGAAGTGAGAGTGATGTAGCCTAAGGGTTTGATTGTCTATGCTTTTAAGTTTCAATAGTGAAGAGAACTGTTATTTCGCTGAGCAATTCAGTTAGTATTTGTTTTGTATTAGTAAATACAGTAGTTACAACAAAAAAAACCCTTCCTAAGTGTGCAAAACCGATTAAAACTCAATACTTGGTGCAAAGTATTTGTGTTTGTATATTTGGATTGCTGGAAATTATTTTATGGGTTCAATTTTTGAAATCAACTCTTTCTTCACTTTGTTGGTTCAGTTGATTTTGCTTACAGAATTTGCTATTATCAGGTTTTCTGGTTCTGCTCCTTTTTTTGATTCAGTCATCATTAGCTAAAGTAAGTTAATCAGAATCAGGGTTGATGCAAAATCTTTCCACCTTTCAGTGACTTAGTAAATTTGTTAATGGGTACAAATTGATTAAATATTATCGGACATGTTGCTTTACTTTCTTTCCTCATTGATAATTCCGTCTGGTTAATGTTGACAAATTGTATGGCTAATGTAAGTTTGATCAATAACTATCTGGGCCACCAAATCTAGAATTGAATGAATTAAAATATCATTTTAGAAAAGGATACCAAAAGAGATTAATTTGGGAAGGTTAAGAGGAGACAGAAAATGCAAGTAGGCATCAAGAAGAAAAGGTAATCATCAGAAAAGGATTAAGTGAAACCTTAACTGTTTGGAGATAATCTCGCATAATGTCCACACCCTTAGCTTGTAAAGCCTCTTCCGAGGATATTATTGTCGGTTCTTTCCCTTAGCAATCAAAATAATCAAACTAGAGCTTATTTACAACTGGAATCCCGGAAGTAGCCTTGTCATGGTAAGAATCCTGAGCGCATGGGATAGCATATGCAAGATGGTTAATCATTTTAAAACTGAAGTCTAACAAAATCACCAGCAAATAGTAACCTTAAATGAGAGAGAAAGAAAAAAATTAGATATAAATACAAGAATACAGAAGCACGTTAAATGACAATTTATATCAGTTTGAATGAGGTTGATTAACTGCAGCTTACCAAATACTTATAGAAAACACAAAATATTCATAATATTCATTCTTGATGATGATGATTATTATTTAATCATTATTTTTGCTTTACTCTTGATAGGCATTAAAACAAACAACCAAGGCAAGATGAAAACCAACAACCAGTTATTAAGAGGCGAAACAAGTGAACATCTTTTTATCCTTAAAAATCAGAAACACTAAAGATAGATTAACACTGCAAAATACAAATTCAAGTTAACGTTTTATTGATAAAATTAATTACCAGTCTTTTGATTGTTATGGCTATCCTAACGATTGGTTTCACCATGAAAGATGAGAACAAAATAAATCACAGTTCAATTTGAATATAAAACATGTAATCTAGACTGACAAGTTGTAAGGTTGATCAAACAATGGATAATTCATAGATATCGGGATCCACAAGTCCTACTATTACTGGAATCCTCTATCAGTCTTGATCACAATTTGAATGCAAAAATTTTCATCTACAATTTAAATTGTTTATAAATGCAAAATTACCAATAAGATTGATTGAGACAATTAGAAATCAATTTATATTTTAAACATTCAGTAAACTTTTGGGCAAGTTGTGATCAAATTAGAAGGTTTTTGATTTCTTTGATATCAATAGAAACCTTGAGTTCTTAATCGCTATCAAATTAATAGTTAATTGACAATTAGCTGGCAAAAAATAACTGAATATCAAATTAGAAACTATCGGAAAACAATTTACCAAAAATGATATAATGATAATCATTGGTCAAATAGCAATGAGAGTGTATTATGGTAAGGAGACCAAGTCAAACTGTTTAAATGATGGTTTACCTTGTGGCAAATGTAATCAACCAATTATTATGATTAAATATAAAGGAAATGTTTACAAATTAAATATACCCTGATTGAGAGGTGGATCAGTGAATGAAATTGATTAGTTTAGTTAATAAGCAACAATATCAATGGTTGGCAAGCTCTGTATAGTGATTGAATCGTTAGCTGTTATTGATTGTTGAAGCTGATGTTGTTGTGATAGGGAAATTAAACAGCAATGAAATAATTTTAACGCAATTTCGTCCATATCAATTGTCAATAGATGCAAATTATTGGATTGTTTGCACGATTTTTCAATTGAATGTTGATTCAATTTTTACAGGTCAATTTACTCATTTGGTGAGAGTTTGATATTCAACGATATTTATGGTTTATTTCATTTTTGTCCTAATTTTGATGATAATGGTTATAATATATAATGATTTTGGGAACACGATTCGCCGTTTTATCTTGTGCTCATTTACACATTCTTTGACTACAATATCAATAAAAGTATGATCATGATAGAAGGTGATGATGATCATGATGATGTCTTATAATCATAATTGTCATCATGGCGAGAGAAATTAAAAAAATTGAAAATGATCAGAGCATTTTGAATGAGGGTCAGATCACTGAAAATGGTACATTATGGATGAGATTTGATCAGTAAAGCGGCAGAAAAAAAAGCTGATGATTGAGGAATTGAGTAGAGTTGAGAAATTAGATGATCATTTGATATACAGCAAGTGAAATAACTTTTTAGGCCATCGTTTGAGATCACAATTTGTTGAAAATTGATAAACTCATCTTTAATCTAATAGCTGGACTGATGGGACTGAAAGATAAGTAATTGCTAAATACATCTGCAATTAATCACTGTACAGATTACAAAGCGTGATATAATTATTAAGTCCCATGTGAGAGGTTCCACTGTCAACAATTGAAGAGCTTGTATTAATTGGTCTTGTGAATGGTTGGTTGGGAATGATATTTTTTTCCAGATTATTTGCTGTAATTGTGTTCCTCTTGTGATAGCCAAAAAGAAGCAACTCGAAATGTTGAAGATGATGATTTACTTTTTTTGTGGGTTACTTGTTGATGAATAGTTAAGATAAGGGGCCGAAGGAAAGATATGGAAATGGGTTAACCATTCAATTTGTTGCTCTTTTTTCCGTCAACTTGAAATAAGATTCAAGGAAAGTGACCTAAAGAAAGATGATGGAAAAATAAGAAAACAAATCAGTCAATTAGTTAAAAGGGACTAGGAACGTGAGTTAGATTGGAATATTGAGAATGTAAATAATTCAGGGTAAAAAGGAAAGGTTAAGTAGGGATGATTCAAGGCTACTCAGGTTGTGCAAACCTTTATAACTAATAATATGATAATCATTATCATTACTATCTTTATATTGGTGTGTTATATTAATAAGCCTCAAAGGGTTGCTGCTTTGTTTACTATGTACTTGATGAATCGGGCCAAATTGAACTAAGTATCAATTTTTGCTGTTGCAAATAAAACAACAAAACCAGCAATAAAGATATTAGGTTCAACTTTAACATGGATTAATCTTGTTGATTGCAATAAATTGTACATTCACCAGAAAGAAGAAGAAAAAATAAACAAATTGATCCTTAATTTGCAATCAAAAACCAAGTGAATGTCAAAATGCAAATCCTTTGCTTGATTTCAGTCAACAGTTTCTTTAGATTTTTCATCATAAAAATGAGTAGATCCGTTTATGTATAGTAGTAACCAGAAAACCCAGGCTAACTTGAAAGGAGGACGTTGATTCAGTCAAAATCAACTTTTAGTACAATGAGCAAGAATCTTGAATCTTTCATTTTGGTCATCTTGTTACTTCTCCTTCTGGTTATTAGTTGCTTCATTTCTTAATTTTCTGATTTTCTTGAGATGAGTTGCTTTTCTCATGTGATAATCTGAGTTCACAATCTATCTGAAAAAGAAAAAAAATATATAAATTAAGAGAAAGGGTATAATGCATGTACGCAATAATGAAGGGAAAATGGCGAAATACAAACGTGAACTGAATACGGTTTTCAAGTTTACCTGTTTGGTTTGTTGTTGAAAACAAATTGTTTGATGATCAAACAATTTGGTAATGCTGATGAAAAGGATGATTATGATTAAGATGAGTATGGTCCTTGTTGAAACAATAATCCTTTCATTTTCGCCATTTTACTTGGCTTTTGTATACCCAATCCTTTTCTTGCCTCGCTATTTATTTCTTAGTTGGTCAAACCACTTGAGAATGGGCATTTAATTATATTTACGGACAAGTGTAACTATATCAGGTAACATTGTTGGTCGACATCGTGATATGTTTATAATTAAATCCATTAAGATGTTGTTTGTTGACTGAACGGTGTGAATAAGTTAACCTTTAGGTCTACCAATTACTTTGACTGTATAAGGTTGAGGTTGAGAGTGTCCATTGAAAAAAATGGCTGTAAAGAGAGAAGAAAAAGAAACGTGAATTAGTCAAAAATATGGGTAGAGTTAACTAAAGTACAGGAATTTAGTGTTGTGACTTTAATTTGTTGATTCTTCTTGATCCAGACATACATAAAAGTTGATCCTTGATAATATGATAATATTTAGTTAATCAAATATTGATCTAAACGACGCCATTCACCTGATGAATAAATTGACCACTTAATCTATTGAATAATGATTTTGATGGTTAAATTTTATAATTCATTGTAACCTGTTGAGACCAATTGATTAACCTTGTTTCTCTTTTTTTTATTATTATTATTTTTATCTTCTCATTCTCCTTCTTCACCTTCAACTCTCTCAACTTTAATAACTGGTTTAACTTTGGCCAAAACCACCGTCCAACTCTAAATATAATTTTTTCTTCATCAACCTTACCTCTTCTCTCTTCCGGGGTCTTCTTCATAATCTCTTTTTTTTCTCATCCTGCGCTTAACTCCCTTTATTATGATGTTGATGATACCTTGGGTACCAGGCGACTCAGTGAATAGTCCAAGGTCAACTAGTAGTTACCTTAAATTGGCTCCTAAATCATCGGATCAAATGGGTAGTGATAGTTTAACAAATAGCAAAAAAACTGGCGGATCAAAGGAAATTAAGGAACAACCGGCTTCACCATCATTACCATCAATATCATCCAATCAACCATATAAAATTTCTCGATCAGGAATAATCAATGGATTAAGGAGAGAAGTTGAATCATCTGATGAAGGTGAGCTGGTTAACAGTGGTGGTAGTATCCAGCGTGGTTCCAATAATATCCAGTCCAATGGTAATCTTAAGCATAATGATAATGTTAACACAAATGAACATAATGGTGATAATAATAATGTTGATGGTGATTGCTTTCATCATCCAGAAAGAGTAAATAGATTGAAGAATAGCACTTTAAATTGTAACATTGAAGGTCCACTTTCTCCTGAGTTTACATCATCTTTAACCAATCACCATCAAAACCAGCAACAACAGCAACATTTAAATAAATACAATGGTAACCAAGATGAACGTAATGCATCAATTTTATCGGAATTGAGAGCTGGAATAAAAGAAAAGCTAGAAAATAAGTTAATTAAAGACATTATAATCTCAAATGAACTGAAAGCATTAGCCGAGAAGTCGTCATCTGTTACATCATGTGACTCAAACCGTTACAATGGCTGGTCAACTCTTAACCAAAGAAGCAAATCAACAACTTTTAACGATCATTCCAATGTCCATAGGATCAATCAAGACTCTATTAAAAACAATCTAAACGGGGTTAATGACAACCATAGAGATGTAAATAATTGTAGAAACAATCAAGACAATTATGGTGAAAATGACGATGATGGTGATATTAGCGATGAAAGAAATCTTGGAAAGGCTGATTATGGCTTTACCATTTCAATTGTCAATAATGTTAATTCAGCTCGTAATCGTAACCCAGATTACGGTATTACTTCACCTTATTCATCCAATACTTCATCATCATCATATTATGATACCCATTTACCATCAGAAGAATCAAGTAAAATTGTGATCAATGTGCCATTAGGAGGAGGTGTTGGTGGTAACAATTTTTACGATAATGAGCCCAATGAACATATTTACGAGGAACTGGATAAAGTGTCCATTTATGGAGCTAATAAAGCTAATTTGGAGATTAATGGGTTGACAATCAATGAATCAAACCTTGGTTATATTAACCACCATTCAATGTCCAAAAGATCCATTTTTGAAGGAGCATCAAGAGACGAGATATTAGAGTATCTGGCAGGTGCAAAGGAAAGAGTCGAAGTATTAATAGATGAAACAAGTCCAACATCTTTAAATCATCATTCCCATCATGGGTTAGTTACTCGGCCTAATTTGGCGTCAACTAGGCGTAATCGAACCTCTAATGTCAGTAATGTTAGTAGCTCATCAAATGATTCAAGTACCACAGCAACTAGCTCATCCATTGAAACGGAAGACTGTTCATTAACCAATAGTACAACCGGAACTCCGGTTGAACGTAACGATTCGGGTGTCGGTGTGGAAACAAGTAAACCAACTAAGATCCGTCGATCAAACAACTTGTTATCCTCACCAGGAGAAAGTGAACGATTATGTGCCGACTGTGAACAACTGATTGAACCCAAAGAGACCAATGAAAACCGAGACAATAACATTGAACCAAATCAACTCGAGGACAATAATGACATTATTTATTATACTCTTGTCTGTAATAAATGTGAAAAAAAGAGAAGCGAACGAAAAGAGATAATTTCTGAATTTGTAGATACAGAATTCAAGTATGGACGTGATTTACGGATCATAAGGGAAGAATTTCATCGTCCAATGGAGGTTGCAGGTAAGATAATAATTAAAAATATATACTTACTATCCCAAAATTAAAAAATAATAACCTTTCCACACACAAATGAATAAATTTTCAACAGTTGACCAAGTTAACCATTGAAAAGGGCTTGTTTACCCTGTTGGGTACCTCATTGAAGCTAAACAACACACTTATCCTGATTACCAGTATTTAGTCAAAGCTGTGATTTTTTTGGTCAAGTGTATAATAATGATAATTTATTTACAAAAATCTGTTAGAGGCTTTTCCCAAACTTGAACCATTAAATATTTGGTTATTATTATTAAATACTGCATGGAGAAACGGTGTTTAAAGGTAGGTGAGAGTTATTAATCTCAAGTAGTTAATGGTGTGAATTAAGGCAAAAAAATAATGGGATAAGCCCAAAGGCTAATCTAAAGTGCCTGGTGTTAATCTACTCTTTCCCAAATATACCAGCTTTAATGTGCTTTTTTCATCTGTCGTTTATATTAAATGTTGACTTCCCATTTTTATCATATCATTTACATCCTCTCATTCCTATCCTAAACCTTTATCATCATGAAGACCATCATCATAATCATAATCAACTACAAACAACAACAACAACATCTTTTCCATCTCAATCATAAAACCTAATTCCTCAATCCTTCATTTTGACAAGATATTTTGTATTTCTTTCCCTAATTTTCTTGTTGTGTTCATTTCAATTGGTTAAATTGATCTTTACATCTCAACCTTGCAAATTAAGATTATCCATCATCATCACCATCATCATAGTAATGTTGGTTAGATTGATAATCAACAAATTGTGTCGAGTTCTCGTAAAACTACTTTAAAAATACTGATACCGTTCGTTTGAAAACAGAACAGGTTAAAGCTTTTTCTTTTCTTGCTTTCATCAGATGAAAGGTAAATCATTTTCTTATCATCATCATTCCCATTCAAGAATCATCTCATCACCCATCAACATATTCACTGATTGACCTTCACTTAAAGACCTCAGGTTACACTCATTGATGGCAGTATGCGAAAGTCAATCACAGTTTTAACCAGCAACAGTATAATCATCATAACAACAATTTATTGTTGTTGAAAATTGTTATATAACCAGATGATGAAAAAAAATGATATTTCACTGATTGAAACAACGAAAGATCATCAATCTAACCTTACACGTTGATCTTAATTACGTTTCTTGTATTTTCCTCCGATTAACTCTCAACAAATCATTTCTTAAATCATTTCTCTTTCTTACAATTTAGACCCACGATTAAAATAATCATGTTGATAGCTTAATGTGAGACCATTTGTGTACTTTATTATCAACCTTCATAACCAAGATGAATGATTGTAATGAAAAGAATGCTCAGTAATTCAGTTTAACATTGAGATCAATAAAAATCAGTCCAAGGTGATAATACAAATTGAATATTGAATGAACAGGTAAAAAATGAAGGGTTTCTTAACAAATTGTAAGATATTACAAAACAAAATCTGTTTTCATCAATTGATTTACACACTTTTAAAAAAAGGGTGAAAGTTGAAAATAAAAACAAATGAAAAATACCTGTTAATAGGTAACCATTTTAATCTAGCATTATGTGTCAATCATGATGATTTAAAATACCCCAACTTGACGTAATCTAGATCAAATGATCGACTCAAATCGACCTACACTTTCAATACAAAAGGCTTGCTTTCAAAGTACTTTCCTGAGGCCAAAAAATGATTACATTTCTCACCTATTTTCGTGATGATCATCACCATTAACATGAATATCATTATGCACAACACTCATCTGATAATATGTTAACTAACATTAAATTGTTACTTTCCATTTAGTTTTCCCATAAATCATCATTTAATCATTGAAACAATTGTTAAATTGAAAGTCACAAAAGATGATTATTACCAATTGATTAGACAAATGTTTACCACTGATTGTTACCATTACTATTACCCATAAAATTGAAGGTTTGTCAACCTTTTTCATCAACATCCAATGTCAATATTGTGCTCCTTTAATTGTTGAGTGTTTAATTTACCAGAACCAGTTAATCAGTGTCATCCAAATGGAAGGTTAATAAATCACTGAAGTAAATGGTAATAATGAATAAATTATCATTTAATGGAAAGTTAAATTGTGATTGAGTCAGTAAAGTGATCTCTCAAGATTTCCCTGACTATTCAAATGTATTTCATTTAAAGCAATCATTAGTTCATCTCTTATTCAGGCCATTTCAATGTAACATTCATGATAAACTTGTCCCAAAGATGATTTGAAACATTCCCAGGATAATTAGTACATTATGATTAGATGATTAAAAGACTCAATTTAACTCTAATAATTGTAAGTCAACTGTTTGCTTAAAATTTAATGAACAGTCTATTTTTAAACGCTAAAGTCAACCATTTCAATGTTATCACCAACCATTGTCTTAATTAAATGGTGATTCCAACGACAATAATAGCGTTATTAATCACCATTAATCATTTAAATAAAGCTCTACCTTTAAGCTGTAGGTTATTCATGATCAATTGAAAATTGACTCTTGATTAACAAGTGTCAGTTAATCGTGAGGCCTTAATATTTGTGTATTATTACGATGTTGATGATTTATTTAACCGTTCATTTCAATGAAAACACACACAAACAGCTTAATAACAATATTGATAATAACCTGATATTAGACTGAATATTAGGGTTAATTTAAGGTATTTTTTGGGTTTCTTTAACAGCTTTTTTTGCTTGTTGCCATTTTTTCAGGTTAATTTGATTAGTTTATTTTAAGTTGATTAAACTCCTCGTGCCGAACCTTACCTGATGATCGTTAGTGTCGTGTTGTTTAATGATTGATTAACACTGTTCAAGTTCATTATTGAATACTTGATTGATAATCAATGTCAAGTTAATCAATTTGTTTTGTCACACAAGCCAAAGGCAACTTTGATCATCACTCTATTATTAACGTATTTCGATTGACTAATCGTAAAATGATATTACAATAATTGTTCAATACCAATCATCAATCACTCGGAGAAATTAAGGTTTTTTCTTCATGAAATCTGTGAATTGTCAATTCATTAATAGTGTTAATTATACAAGAGTTAATCAGAATGATTAATTGAAAAGAAAAGCAAAATTTGTTCAAAAAAATAATTTAAGGCAACTCAAATGAATGAAGAAAGTCACTGAAATTTTGATCAATAATCAGGTTCAACAATCTAATTTACCATTTTAATTTGAACAATTTCATCTTTTAACCAATGATTAACTTTAATGATCAGTTAATGATTACATTAGTTGAACCATTTACCACAATTTGAACCAATTGATTGACTTGATCCAGATTGAGATACTCATTGAAAAGCATCCTAATTGATTCACATGTTGGGATAACAAAAAGATTTGAATAGATGTTGTTTTGCCCTGAAAATTGTGATCAAGAAACAACTTTGATTACCGGAAGAGAATCAAATCTTTTTTAATTCTTTTCATTCCATTCATTTGATCAATTACTATTGTTACAATAATTGTTGTAATACAAAGTCAACACACACTTCGTGCGTATCTAAATTCATATTCAATTGAACAGCGTTTCTAATCATTACCATTTCTTACCTTGAAATAAAAAGGTTAACATTTCGTGTCAAAACACTTTGACCAGACAATTTCACATTTTCATGTCAGATTAATTTACCTATTTAATGCTCACGGAATTGAAATATCAAAGACTATCGGTCAACTAATTATCACTGCCTTTTGTCTGGTTAGTCTAAAGATGACCATTTCAAGAGTAAAAATTAATTTAAAAAAATCCTGGTTTTCTGGTTTACAATTTTTTGCTTTTTGATGTTTTTGAAATACAATTGACTTGATCAAGAGTTGGTGTCAGTGTTGGCGAACAGTTAATTGCTATTAATATTATTGTTATATTTACAATTTAAAGCCATGTTAATGTGAAGAAGGTGTATTAGCCCCTGGAGCAAACAATTAAGGAATCTCAGGAGTGTTGCTATTCAAATTGTGGGAAGTAGGCCTAAAGACACCATTAATTGATCACTTTTTTGCCCATTTGTACGACACTTGGATTCATTTTTGGTCCAAAATTTTGGCCTTTTTCCCAATTCTCTTGTGGTCATCTTTTTGGGTTTACTTGGCATTTTTGCTGCTCTTTATTGCTACCAACTAAACATGTTTACAATCATTGAATCAATAATCAACCTTTTGTAATTAGCTTTTTTCAATGTTCATCTTTTCAATCTAAATCATTCTTGAAGATGAACAAATTATCAAGATATTAACATGAATCTAAAGTCGTAAAAATTGTTTATCTGTTTACGGAAACCTGAAAGGCTGTTAACACTGGTCATTGTCAGTGAGACGAGGGTTATGATACTAATTATGATGATGGTTTAGATGATAATTTGGATGATTAGTGAAGATGGGTTTACAGAAGGTTAAATAATTTGAATTTTTGCAAGGCAAAAAAAGTAAATAGTTGGTTAATCTAATGTTCAATGTTCAATTGAATAGAGTTAATATTCTGGTTTAAAGTACCAGAAAAAGGTCATAAAAAATGAACCTAAACATGCATCTTTATATGCATTTATGCCTTTTACAAAATGATAATATCGGCCAGGTCACAATGCCGATGCCTTTTAATGGCTTTTGAATTATTTAACCAAACAAAAAGTAGGGTCAACATGTAAGGCTTTTTTTTGGGTAACTACTATTTTTTATGATGTTATTAATACAAGATGAACAATTAGGACGGAAGCTTTTCACCATTAAAGGTCACTTTAAAGTTACTAATGAATATTATTCAGTTATTAACAGAGTCCATCTAAATTATAATTGTTAACAATTCTGTCAATGCAATGGAGAGTCACAGGTTTAACCTTTTCTGGTTAAAAGCTGGTTACTCTTAGCTTGATAAAAGGTCAATGAATATCATTGATTATCATTTTAATGGTTAAGGAAGCCAACTAAATATTAATCTAATTGCTTTAGCCTTTGATTATTGTTTTATGTGATTAACCATGAAGCCTACTGTGAAGACGATTCAAACGATACATATTAATACAAATGATCCGAGAATCAAATGCTTTAGTGAAAGTGTATTTTGATAGGATTTCTTGGTGAATCGCCGTTACTTGAGATTGTTATTTAAGACCAGTTTAGGTAATCACGGTTAACGGTCACGATGACCGTAAACTAATCACGGAAAAATTTGGTGAAAATATATACTTGTGTTCATCTTAACCAACCTGTTTTGGATGATCATTATTATTAAACATTTAACTCTGAAAGCAATGGATCCAATTTAACGATACAATATCGTTTTTTACAGGTCATCTTGAAGATCGATTCCGCTACTTTGGACTTAATCTTTGCGTGTTTTCATACTTTCTATTATTCTTAATGTTTTAATAATCTTTCAGTTCCACCCTGACCATCATCTTAATCACCATCATCATTTAAATCTAACCTTTTCATCAGTTTTTGATCACTTTCTTTCATCAACTTGAACTGCTTCATTATCATGGTAATCATTTCATTTCTTTTCCTGACCATTCATTACTTTGATTATCATTATTATCATTCAATTGTTTCTTTGATTCCTCTTTTTCATCCAGTCAATCATTAGCCATTTGTACAATGTTTTGATGGTCAAATTGAAAGTCTGTCTGTTGACCCAACACTCAATGTTTACCTTTGATCAACACTCAACCACACAATTATTTAACGTATTTTTTGTCACTTCAACAATTTATTGGTTCATTGATTGACCAAATATCGGTAAATATTTCTGGTTAAACATTGATCAATGATCTGGTTGTCATTTGATTGTCACTCATTTCAAATATCTCAGTTCAGATGTTTCAAGTTTAATGCTGACCAGATTAATTGTTGATCCAATTGTTGAGTGTTTTTTTAATTTTTCAATCTTCTATTTCAAATTTACTTTCCTGGACAATAATTGTGATAGGTTGGCCTTTTTTAGTTGATATATTGTTGAAATAATTGCCTGAAAATGACTTTATATTTCTCTATTTGTTAACAAGGTTTTTAATCAGCTTATTATTTTTGAAATCAAGCTTAATAGTGAATCAGATTGTATCTGTACAAGCTTGTTTATCATGGTTGACCATTGATCACTGATCATTACCATCTATATGATTATGATTTAAGTCTTGATGAAGGCAACATTTACCTTTATTGGTTTAACTGTCAACTCAATAGAGTTAAGGTTTATGCCTTTCTTTTGTCTCTATCAGATGAAATTCAGTTTAACCTTTCATGTCATGTTTCATCTAATGATACGGAATACATTAAGTTATGATTACGATTCTTTTTGTTTCTCACTTGATTAAGGTATCAAATAATAAGGTCAATTCTGTTATGGTTATGATTACGATTTAACTTTTGTTTCTATCATTGCAATTTAAACTTAATCCCACTCGCTTTTGTTTTCATTTTATCTCATTTTGTGGTTACCTTTTCATTTGTAAAACAACAAATCGTCATTTTTTTGGTTAATTTTTGTTAAACCATATTGACACCCTCGCAAACATACCTTTATTATTCACCTAAAAACTATTGATAAATTTTTGCTTGCGTTAATTTGGTGATTCCATTGAGTTAATTTGATTAACAGTGGAGGAAGGAAATTGAGAAACGAGAACAAATGATTCAACTAACCGCCATTTTTATCTTTCCCATTTAACCTCTTAACATTGTGAGTCACTGGTGAACACGCTCTTTTATTTCAGTGAGGAAAAGGTTATTTTTTAATTCAACCTTTTTTTATTCAAACCATCAATGTTTAATTTACTCTATTTTTGATTATAATGTTAATTAGGACTTCTGACCAAGGAACAAATCAAGGGAGTCTTCATTAATCTAGAGGAACTGATCAATGTGAACTCAAAATTCTCGGAGAAACTGCAGGACGCTATTGACATTGCTTCTGAACAAGGAGATGAGGTTTGTATCTTTGTTTCCTATCTTTGTTTTTTGACCTTTAACCAAGTGCATTACTAATGAACCCTTCTTTATTATCTTCTGTTTACCCAAATACTATAATCTTGCCACTTAATAGGATTTCACCACGGTCAATATTGGAAAGCTTTTCATGGAATCAGCTAGTATGCTTCATTCCTTTGAGACTTACTGCCTTCGCCAAGGGTCAGCTTCCGTTTTGCTGAACCAGCTGGAGAAAGAAAAAGAGCTTCTCAGAATATTTCTAAGAGTATCGCAGATGGAGAACACTTTACTCAGGAGGATGAATCTATCAGCCTTTCTAATGGTGCCTGTACAAAGAGTCACTAAGTATGTTTCATTAGACGGAAAGTTAATAGACTTCCATGACTTTTCAAGTTTCTTTGAAATTATAATATTAAGCCAACTCTTCGATCGCTATTTTCATTGAAAAATGAATCGATTCTATCAGACATTTTTGCAGATTTTAGACCTCCATCTGACTATCCTTTTGTTTATTATTTTCACAGGTATCCATTGTTGTTGAATCGATTGTACAAAGTAACCCCACACCATCATCAAGACAGGGATGCTTTAAAATTGGCTCAGCAAAAGGTTGAAATTCATTTGGAACACATAAACCAACAAACGAAAGGTTCCACTGCACCAACTAAAATCTGGAGAAAGTTTTCTCATCTTTCAAATAGACGATTACCCAGTATAGATGACATTGGTGATATTAAATTGAGAAAGGTAGATCTACTTTCATGAGTTATCTTTAGACAAAAATTTACTAATGATTAATCTTGCATAAAATAGGTTGCTCTGGAAGCTATGAATTGGACTCGAGATCAAGCTAATTTTATCATGTCTGGTCGTCTTTCATTTTTGCCATCCTCAGAATATCAATTGTATAAAAAGCGAGGAAACATAAAATTTTCCTCTGCTAGTTGCCTTTTAATGAGCCTTGGGGAAATGTTACCCTCAATTAAAAGTAATTTAGCGGACGATGACGAAGAATTCGAAAGAGAACTCATGTTTCCTCGATCAAACCATGGATGTGAACAAGCAGTTTTAATTTTAATCAAAGAGAAACACAGTAGATACACACTTTGCAGAGTAAGTTAATTTGTTATCAATTTTGGCTTGTTTATGTTTTTTATTCATCTTACTGTTGACAAAGAATGGAAGTTGAATGAGAATGATTGGCATTTTATTTTGAAAAATACACATGTTTACATAGGGTTATTGTTTGTATTAGTTGAGAGTTTAACTGCAGTTAATGCCAATTTGATTGTCATCTAGCTGACAGACTATTTTTTGTCTCAATTGTTGTGAATGTGATCATTGCAGTCACCTGACGGGTACTTGTTTCACTGAGTGGCTAAATTTTTCAACTCTTTTATTACAAGCCTCTCCATTATTCATTTTATGGTCATGCTATCGGCAGAACAAAAGCAAACTTTGTTTATTGATGTATTTTCAAGTTACTGACGATTATTTTATTTGCAAAATTTCTTATAGGAGCCATTCAACCTTGCATCCTGTGTTATTTCATCTGACAGTGAATTCGAAGACTTATTTGAAATTCATGAACAAAATACTAAAGAGTCATTCATTTTGAAGGTAAGACTGAGAGAAAAAAAAGCTTACGATCATCTTGAAAATTTATATATTGTTTTCAATTCTATCCAGGCTGATTCACCAACAGAAAAGCGTGATTGGTATAGACAAATCTGCTACCACTCAAAAAATTTAGGAAATTGGCGAAAGCGTCGGAATGCTTTGGCAAACATCATGATGGTGCGCCCATGAGGAACAGAAGAAATGTTGCAATGGGTCAACCTGTTTATTGTGAATTTTGTGCATTCTAATCGAACCTGATCTGAATTGTTTAATTTTCTTGCAAATCGCCAAACGACCCATTTTTAACAAATGATCAAATAATCTAGTCGCTCTGAAATTATTTAAAATAATCATATTATAATAACATTGTAAAGATTGGTTATTGATAAGTATAAAATGTATCTTTTAACGCAAACAGTTTTTAAATATTAATTCAATTTCCCGAAACATAAAATCTGTAGCTTGCTAACTTCGCTTTTTTACCTGTAATGGGGAATCAACAAGTATAGATGTGACTTAGGCAGGATGAAAAAAAATCAAAGTGAACAGATGCTTCTCTCCCGGTGATGGTTTAAATTCAACATCCACCGAGGAAAAACTCATCTAACCGTTTGATGATTAGGGAATGGTGCAGATAGGTCAAGCAATAAGATGCCTTCATCCCGGTGATGGTTCAAGTCAGCATCCACCGAGGAGGAAGCCACCGGATCGATTGATGATTGAGGAATGATGCAGATAACTCAAGCGATAAGATGCCTTTATCCCGGTGATGGTTCATATTCAACATCCACCGAGGAAGAAGCCACCGGATCGTTTGATGGCTGAGGAATGGTGCTGATGAATCAAGCGATAAGATGCCTTTCTCCCGGTGATGGTTTTAATTCAACATCCACCGAGGAAGAAGCCACCGGATCGATTGATGTTAGACAATGGTGCTGATAAATCATGCGATAAGATGCCTTCATCCCGGTGATGATTAAGATTCAGCATCCACCGAGGAAAAAGCCACCGAATCGATTGATGACTAGGGAATGATGAGGATAAGTCAAGCGATAAGATGCCTTTATCCCGGTGATGATTCAGATTAAACATCCACCGAGGAAGAAGCCACCGAATCGATTGATGTTAGACAATGGTGCTGATGAATCAAGCGATAAGATGCCTTTCTCCCGGTGATGGTTTTAATTCAACATCCACCGAGGAAGAAGCCACCGGATCGATTGATGACTAGGGAATGATGAGGATAAGTCAAGCGATAAGATGCCTTTATCCCGGTGATGATTCAGATTAAACATCCACCGAGGAAGAAGCCACCGAATCGATTGATGTTAGACAATGGTGCTGATGAATCAAGCGATAAGATGCCTTTCTCCCGGTGATGGTTTTAATTCAACATCCACCGAGGAAAAAGCCACCGAATCGATTGATGACTAGGGAATGATGAGGATAAGTCAAGCGATAAGATGCCTTTATCCCGGTGATGATTCAGATTAAACATCCACCGAGGAAGAAGCCACCGAATCGATTGATGTTAGACAATGGTGCTGATGAATCAAGCGATAAGATGCCTTTCTCCCGGTGATGGTTTTAATTCAACATCCACCGAGGAAGAAGCCACCGGATCGATTGATTTTTGAGAAGAGTGAGAATTGGTAGAACTGGTGAATTTTATTCAAACCAAGAGGTGCCATCATCCCGGTGTTGATGTAGATAAAACAAACTCCGAAGACGGGTGCACCTATTTGTTTGAAGATATATTGATTCACGTTGAATTTGAACTCTGATTCATAAATGAAAAGTGAAATGACGATCTAGAGCTTGCTAGTAGATGTTTTGACACATCTAACCACTTGCTGAAGCAATCTTCACAATATACGGATAGGAGAATGATAAATATGTTCCAACATGATAATTTTGGTTTACCCATAAATATGAAGTTGAACATTGAGAGTCAAGAGTGAAGTGAAGAAACGTTCAAAGTTTTTCAGTCTTTTATACTCATTTTCAAGCGCCATATCTTGACCAGAGGGTAAAAAAGAAAGAGTAAGGAAGATGCAGATTAAAGAAAGAGAAAGTAAAGAGATCTAAGGCTAATTGCCCTCAAATCTTTGTTTTAAAGAGTAGGGTAATATGTTTATCTCTCAACACTGAAGATACTTTACCAGATTAACAATCTGGTTAAATCCATACCCAAAACTTATCCAGTTTAACTTTCTTCAACTCTTTTTTATTGTTGACTATAGCTTTAAGCTTAAATCCTCTTCTAATCCATGGCTACGGGGTGAATCAATTCAAATAAAATTACCAGATTGGATGGCAATATCTTCTGATTGTTTATTGTAATAATAAATTTTTCTCAAGATGATACATTAATCAAAAAAGATACTGACTGAAAAACCGCCAAAACTCCCTTCTTTTAGTTTTGATTTTTTTGATAATGAGATATCCTTAATTTGTAATTTGTAAATATTAAGAGTGCTGATAAATTTGTTTTGTATCTACATGTGCTTACTATTCAATTTTTGACAGTATCATATTTATGTGTTAATAATAAAGAAAAGCATTTTTACGAGTAAATTCAAGATTGACGCCTTTTCGGTGTCCGTCCTCTTTGAAAACATTCAACATCTGTTTTGGTTCAATAGAATCATGATCTGTAGAACCATCAAAATAAGTCAAACAAAGATAAAATCAAAAAAAGGTTTATCTATCAAAGAAATGATCACAAGCAGTATTGTGAATAATTTTTGTCAAATATTTCCAATCAAAGGTCAGTCTACCAATCGGGACACTGATTCGACTTTCTGACTACCAATAATACAAACAAGTGCGAAAATCACCACGATTTATCATCTTCATCATTATCTCCTGATCAAGAAGAAGAAAACCTGGAGAAAACAATAAATTAAAAAGACTGCCGCCTTGTATACCAGGGCCATGCAAAGGCTATTCATTTTTTTCTTTTGTACTGATTAATTGCGGTTAAGCAATGTTTTCCAAAAAAGATCACAATTCAATATTTTTGTATAGCGAACCGCAAAATTTACTAGACACCCTAATAGTGTGCAATTTTATTGATTTTTTCATTTTAATCTATACTAATCAAACACTATCTTCAATCATGACTAGTTACGAACTGATCAAAAAACGAAAGCTGAAAATGCTTGCTTCTATACAACAATATGCGTATCGATATTTTTTGCGGATTTAACTTTCTCCTTTTTGACATAATGGTAATGGTAAACAATTAAGGTTGTAAATAATGAATTTTATTAATATTTCAATGACAAAATAAACATTCAACGTAATTTTGCCAAATATTAGGCACAGAGTATAAACTTCGTCCACATAGCTTACAAAGCTCATATTTGATAGAAATGAGATCACAGAGTAGTAAAGAATTGATGCATCTGCCAAATCGATGATTTTTTGGACAGAGGCCTTCTCTGAAATTTTGTATGGACACATCTTCTCGACAAATAGGACATTTTTCTGTCTCCAGACTGGAATCATGATTAGTCCAAGTAGCTTTGCTCAAATCGTTTTTACTAGCCCAAGAAGCCATCGTGACCAAAGACAGCACTTGATTGCGAGTTAAAGTATGACGCTGGTCCCAAAACTTTTCATGAATGAACTTTACATGTTCTAGTAAAATCAATTCTTCCAAATGCATAACTGCTTCTTCAAAATCAGTGACAGTACGGTTGGCTGGAGCTCGCTGAACACAAGCCAACGAGATAAATCTCAAAATTTTGAAGTTGATACTCCTCAGTGATGATGCATTCCAATTCCACTTTCCATCTAGCAATTTTTCCAAAATTTTTGGAGTCCAGTTCAAGTTGTTCGAATAATAACCTCGTAAAGCATTCAATAAATCCATTATTTCGCGCAAAGAATTGTACTTTGTATATAAATTAGTGTCTTCAATCAGCGCCTCAATTCTACTAGTAACAGCGTCAAAACTTAAATCTAAAGATTGAGAGAAAGAATATATGATTAGAATTAGAAGTTAATTTCAGATTGAATTTCAGTCATGTGAGCCTGGCGATAAATTGTCGAGCTTCAATAAAAGCATTTATTATCATTGGATAAGAAATTCTAGCGAGATAAAAAATGCAAGAAATTTATATCTACATATCTAAGCAATTGAAATGATAATCTTGTGTCAAAACACAACTTACTAGGAAATATGATGATTCTTGTTGGCTCTACTAGCAGAAGGTGGTCATGAAGTTTTGTCATTGTCTGAGCCAAACAGGTCAGGACACGATTACGTGAGGTTCGAAGGCCCAATGGAGTCAAATTAGATACAACTTCATCTGAGTTGATAGGGTGAGTTGTTTGATCGAGGGCCGTAGAATCATCTTTCACATGTAGATTTGTCAACAGCCGATCTGGTGATGAGAAAATCAAGTCATTATCTGGAGATAATGACAATCCAGTGATACGAGTCTTTACAAGGGTCTCAATAACTGTGATTCCACAAAGTTGTAACATCGTTTTTCTAGCCACTATCATTTCTTTCATAGTAGCTATGAAAACATGACAATTTTTGGAAAAAAAGATCTTGTATCGACCGTGCTCAATTTCCTGAAAGATTATGTTTAGAACAGGCATATCATCAACTTCCCTCCAAGGCACAACTTTAGGAGTCATTAGCCAGTCATCATATTCAGGTTTGATAGCTTGTACAGGGATTTTGATGACAATCAATTGTCCGTTTAGCGGGCAAATGGCGAGATATTCCTTGTACCATTCAACAAACACTATCGAGTCAAGACCAGTTTTCCATGAGTTGACCAAATTAATGCTAGCATTTCTACCAGTAAATGAGAATTTCATAAAGTGACAATGACCAGAGCTGGTACAACAAACAAGCATGAGTGCCTCATCTTCCCCTTCCTTGAATACAGGTGACCATGCCATACAATTTATAGACAATTTATGCAGATGCTCGAATGCTTTCACTAGAGGTACGCCTTTATAATGAGACCTAAATAATGGACTTATATTAGTGGGACTTGATAAACTAAATTAATTATAGTATTTACCCAATCTCTGCGTCTAGAATCTTGGTACAGTCAGCGAGCAACTTCCATTTATTGGCTTCAGAAAAATATATACTCAATCTATTGTCATATGTTAAAAGAGCCAGCAGTGAACCAAATTGAGCAACTCTAGGAGACCATGCGGACAATTGGTATTTCGCATAGTTTGAAGCAAAACCTTTGGTCAAATGAATATGGTCAAACCAGTCACATTCTGGCCTTTGATTGTCGATAAAACGTTTGGCGGTTGACTGAATAGCTAGAGGATCTGATTCTGGTGGGTTTGGGATGAAGTGTTTATGGGGATAGAGACTTGTTGAAGAGTCAGAAAACGTATAGTCAGGTGCAAAAACAATTGCACCTTTGTCCGTCAGAAGACATATATTATCATCCACTGACCACTGAAGAGCATGGGTATCATTAAGATGGCTGGTTGTAGTAAACATGGAAAACACTATTGGGCTAGAATCACCCATTCTGGACAACACTAAATTTTGAACCAAATATAAAGAAAACAGGTTGGACCTTGCCTTGTGAAATCACTAGTTACTTATCAAACAAACTACTAGAAACGGTGCTGAATCAACATTTAAAATAAACTTGGTGCTCAACTGATCTCTGCATGCTGCTTACCATAACTAACATCTGAGGATTCTCACTTTCTTCCCAAAACAAACGAGAATGATCTCTTATTGGCTGAAGTTAAACCGCTTTAACCAAATATTTAGCCGATGAAAATACAACAATAATGGATGAGTATGGGTCTAGTCATGAATTTTAACATGAACACATGGACAGGCCCGAACTCATTCATCATCATTGTCAAAGTGGCGTTGAATTTGGACCCTGATTCATAAATGAAAATGGGTGAAATGACGATTAAGAGCCTGTAAATTAGATGTTTTCGTCCGATGATGTTAAAACAAGCACATCAGCCGAGAGAAAAATCATCTAACCACTTGCTGAAGCAACCTTCACAGTATATAGATAGGAGAATGATAAACAAGTACCAAGATGATAATTTGGTTTACCCATAAATATGAAGTTGAATATTGAGAGCCAAGAGTGAAGTGAGTTGGAGTCCAAAGTTTTTCAGTCTTTTATACTCATTTTCAAGCGCCATATCTTGACCAGAGGGTCAAAAAAGAAAGAGAAAGGAAGATAAAGATTAAAGAAAGAGGAAGTAAAGAGATCTAAGAAGGGAAAGAGAAAGAAGGAGTGAAAGAGGGGAGTTGCTAATTGCCCTCAAATCTTTGTTTTAAAGAGTAGGGTAATATGTTTATCTCTCAACACTGGAGATACTTTACCAGATTAACAATCTGGTTAAATCCATACCCAAAACTTATCCAGTTTCACTTTCTTCAACCCTTTTCTATTGTTAAACTATAGTTATAATTTTAAATCCTCTTCTAATCCATGGCTACGGGGTGAATCAATTTAAATAAAATTACCAGATTGGATGGCAATATCTTCTAATTGTTTATTGTAATAAATTTTTCTCAAGATGATAACGATGATATATGAATCAAAAAAGATACTGACTGAAAAACCGCCAAAACTCCCTTCTTTTAGTTTTGATTTTTTGATAATGAACTAACCTTAATTTTTAAATTAAGAATTACAAGAGTACTAATAAAATTCGTCTTTTATGTGCTTATTATTTAGCTATTTAATTGTTGGCGATATCAAATTCATGTGTTAATAATAAAGAAAAACATTTTTACCAGTAAATTCAAGATTGGCGCCTTTTCGGTGTCCGTCCTCTTTGAAAGAAACTCTTTCTGTTTGAAAACATTCAACATCTGTTTTGGTTCAATAAATTGTCAATGGTTTCTAAATCGATTTATCAATAGTTTATTTAAGTTTTTTTTGTTTGGTTAATTAATTAAATGGTGAACTTATCTTTTTGGGGCTAGAATGAAGAAATCTCGAGATGATCAACTCAATGCCTTTGTTAATTATTACCTAGAGAAAAGGAACTATTTCATTGTGAGTATCTTTCTGTTTTCTCATCACAATTGTCATTTCAGTTTATTCTGATTTCGCTTTCTTTCCGTCTTGTAGAACCATCAAAATAAGTCAAACAAAGATAAAATCAAAAAAAGAGGTTTATCTATCAAAGAAATGATTACAAGCAGTATTGTGGATAATTGTTGCCAAATATTTCCAATCAAAGGTCAGTTTACCAATCGGGACACTGATTTTGACTTTCTGACTACCAATAATACAAACAAGTGCGAAAATCACCATGACTTATCATCAACATCATTATCACCTGATCAAGAAGAAGAGAACCTGGAAAAAGCATTTGATCAATTGCAAAGACTGCCGCCTTGTATACCAGGGCCATGCATAGGCTATTTAGAAGGTTGCAATCCATGTACAGTTGATATAAGACAAGACATCAAATATTTTGCTGCTGGTTTTGACAATTCCGAGATTAATCTTTGGTCGCTTACTGCCCTAGGTTTCAAGACTCAAAAAAGTTATTCCAACCAACAATCGTCAATTTTATCAAATCCTTTAAGATTGGCCTTAGAATCTGATGTAAATAATGCAAACTCAGAAACATCACCTCATAGATTGCACACATCTCTAACCGGCGATAAAACGCTTTCTGGTGCATCAATCTTGCGTGGCCACTATGGTCCAGTCTATGGATTAAATTTTGTTGCAAATTCTCATCTTATTTCTTGTTCAGAAGATACAACTATTCGCCTTTGGGATCTTAACTCGTGTAAAAATAAATTTGTTTATTCTGGTCACCTCTACCCGGTTTGGTGCATCGATAGCAGTCCTTTAGAATTATATTTCGTTTCTGGTTCTCGTGATACTACTGCTCGCCTTTGGAACTATGAGCGTCTCCATCCTATTAGAATATTTGCTGGTCACATATTAGATGTTGATGTTGTCAAATTTCATCCCAATGCAGCTTACATTGCTACCGGATCATCTGATAAAACGGTATTTATCAAGCTAATTATTTATGTGCCCATTAATACCAACCTACTTTTAAACTAACACAGCACACTAAGAAATTGTTTACTCATTGTTTACTCAGATTCGTCTTTGGGAACTTAAATCTGGCCAAGTGGTTCGACTCTTAGAAGGCCACAAAGCAACAGTTACTAGCTTAGCGTTTTCACCTGATGGCAAATATTTGGTGTCAGGTGGTGATGACTGTGCTATTAAAGTTTGGGATCTTCGCACCACAAAAGGGCCCTTAGCAAGCTTAACATCTCATCGAGCTCCTGTTAACGATGTTTGTTTCAATGGAGATGGATCTGTGTTCATATCTGCTAGTTCAGATCGTACTGTTAAATATTGGGATTTCCAGCAATTGAAGTAATTTTAAATTTATTGTTCTTCAATCAAAAAAATATGCTAAATTGAATAGCTCTCCAATATTTCGTTTCCGAATGGATAATTGTTGAAAACAGACTAAATTAGCCATATTCTTGACCAATCCTTTCCTCTTCTCCCTAGTGACCCAGCCTTCTTTCTATTCAAATATGTCTTCTCAGTATTTGTCAGTTGCTTGATTTTTCAGCTAATGAGTTAGCAACAAAGACTGTGGCTATAACTTCAACCTGTTATAGGCTGTTTTTGCCGATAAAAGAACAGGCCATGAGCTTTTAGAAGAAGAATAAGGCGAGGAAGATAAAGTGTAGAAAATAGATGAAACTGAAGATTTTAAAGCAATTTTGTTTACCTACCTTTTCAACGTCTTATTTTCTTGGGCCTCTTTACGACGCCTTTTTTATAAAGAGAAAAGTAGAAGAAAAAAGTTTCCCGCTGATAAAAATTCGACCATCAACAATAGACTCTTAGCAAAAGACTATTTCTTGGGCTTATTTTGCCTTATTTTACTCCAATAACCACTCATTCCTTTTCTCTTTCCCTGTTTACCCTCTTTCATTTTTCTGACAAATTTTGGAGCAATCATACTTTTCTTCCAACATTAACCCTTAACATTTCTCTGTCTTGCCACATTTGCCTTGCTAATCTTCATCCTAATCTATAAATTGGACGTTATAGGCTACTTTCGACTGAGAGCTAAAAGCTTTACAATATGATAATTAATTTTGGAATGGTTATTGTTCCCTCTTTAAGCACCTTCCTTTGACTATTTCGCCCCTTGATGTACCATTTTTTAATTATTGTTTTTCTTCTTTCATATTTTTTACAGAGAAACCAATACAGTGAACAAATACTTATTACACTCAACGCCGACAGACTTCTCTCTAATTAAGTTAAAAATGTTACCTCATAATGTAATTTATATACATGGTCAAAAGTTATAGTCATTCCAGTCCCCAACTTGCGCCTGATTACGATTACAATAGATAATGAATATGATTTCACCGACTAAAAACGGACTCTTTTTTGAAAAACAAATTAATTGACAAATAATTAAATTTATGAATTTTTTAATTTATTTCTTATAATTATGATGATTGATTAAATGAGCTTAAAAATGACAAGAACAAAATACATACAGTAATCAACGTAAAAGAATGATGAAAATTTAAATTGGATGCAATAACTGTAATTCATGTAAAGAAATGGATGGATATCCATGGAATGTTCCAATTTCGCCAATCTTTTAAGCTGTTAAAGCTAAATCTAATTCTTGAATTAAAATTCTTTGATCAGTGAAATTATTGCAATTAGCTTCAATTGCTTTTGAAAAGGGTCAGGCAAACAAAAAAACATTCATAGCAAGATAAGGGGAACATATTTAGCCTTAAGCTAATTTAAAAAAGAGCGGGTCAAACGGTTTTGTCAGACTTTTCGACCTCACAATTCAGAAGCAAACACAATTTTAACTAAAATCAATAGATCTAAAATTTGCTCATTTATCTTTCAGATTTTTGAACATTAGCTCTTCTAATCGAAACAACTTGAGTTTTATTAAGCATTGATTGATAAGATAACTTTCTCGTGCGAAACTTGAAAGCTTAAAAAGTTGGCGAAGTTGGACTAAACCGATATCCATTGACCTATCTCATTAATCTTGCCTTGACACTAAGGGAAACAAAAGCTAATATACGAAAACCAATCAGTAATACTCCTAAAGCAATAAAGTTTCTTGTTATATTATCTTCATCGAAATTAAGCTTCCTAATAACACCTTTTCCATCCAAAATACAACCCAAACCAGGTGGAATAACATCACCGAGATCATCAGGCAAACTCATATTTCCTAACATAGATCCGATATGAGTGAAAGTTTCTGGTATATCACAGGTAATGTTGGTGACTTTTCGCCATTGGTTAACGACTAGAATTTCATTACCATAGTAAAACCAACTTAGATATTTAATCCATGCGAGATAGACAGGAATTGATCTGAAAAAAGTTCATTCAAGTTATTAGTTGTTGATTAACAAATTATTATGCAAAAAAACTCACTTATTGTTTAAGAAAAGTCCACCAAAAAGCATGAGAGGTATCATGAAAGGTGGTGCGAGTGATAATGCCATTGTTACACTTTTACTGATGGTTGATATGAAATAGCCAAATCCACAGGCAACATTGGCTATCAAAGTTAACACAAATGCTGCCAATATGAAAACTTCAATATTATTGTAAAGACCGATCATCCAGTAAGTTATAGAAGCGAATGCGAAAGGTAATAGAACAAAATAGGGCAATTCAGCAAGAGTTTTCGAGATGAAGTAAACCGAAACTGAATATAAACCGTTATTGTGTTCTCGAATAAAAATCGGTAATTCCAAGCAAAATGTCTATTGAAATAAAATAAATTGATTAGTAAGTGAACTCCTTTATTTAGACCATTTATAAATTATGCTAATTGATCTGGTCATGTATTACTTACATTGACAACAGCAAAAACATTAGTAAATGTTATATTTGCTAATAAAATGAATAAAGCACCATTAATATTCATTATTCCTTCTTGATTGTATTCTTGCCTCCAATAAATAAGTCCAAGTAAAAGGGAGATAAACTAAGAGATGAATAAGAAGCGGTGTAATTAAAATTAGTTTATGGTTTTTATCAATAATCAATAAAGCATATGATATCATGAATCTTAAAACTTACGATTGTTTGAGCAATTCGAACAGAAGTTAATAAAGGCTCTCTTAAATTGGTTAACCAAGATCTCCACAATACTAGAAACATTTGCATGAAAAATCCTCTTTTGTATGAAAAAACTATCTTAGAACTGTATCCGTCATCAGTTTGCACTATTTCTTTATCAAATTTGTTCATTCTGGCTGCAAATTGGGATTCAGAAAATTTGTTACAAATTTCCTAAATTAATAAGAAGAATTAAATTTAGAATTCGAAATTTGAAAGACAAAGTATGAAAGCTCAAAATTAGTAATTTCGATTAGGTTTTCAACTAACTTCAACATTTCTTTTACATTCCTCTTCCCTTCCTGGAACAATAGCGAGTTTTTGAATGTAAAAATCAGATGGATTGTAATTCTGTGGACATTGAAGACCGATCTGTGAAAAGAATGAGAGAGCGTCCTGAGATTTTCCCATGAAAGCCACTCTTCCTTGCGACAGTAGTAAAATTTCATCAAACATTTCAAAAACTTCGGATGATGGCTGATGAATGGTTGCGAGAACTGTTCTTCTGGCGGCTGCCATTGACTTTAAAACACTGATAACACTTTGAGCCATAAAAGAGTCTAGTCCAGAGGTAGGTTCATCACAGAAAAGTATAGCAGGATCCGTCAGAATCTATAATATTAAGGAGAAAATGCAATTAGTAAAACAAAATAATCAAAGTATAAGTGCAAAATCACAATATGGACATTACCTCTGTAGCTACAGATAATCTTTTAAGTTCCCCACCAGAAAGACGTTGTCCGGTTGAACTGCATTTAATTCGACTTTCAGCAACTTTCATGAGTCCTAACTATAAAACGAATAAAACAATATCAGTGTGTTAGTTAACAGGAAGATTAAAGAGTTAAAGAACTTAAGATTCCTTTTCAACTAATCAAACTAAATAATAACTTACTGTTTCAAGAAGCTTATTAATTTTAGCCCGACGTTGTTCTGGAGTTAAGGGCACCGAAGTTCGTAGTTCAAGTTGGAATTGCAAGTGTTCTCTAACAGTGAGAACTCCAAAAAACAAATCATCCTGTTGAACATATGCAGAACACGATGCTAATTTCTGGATAGTAGTGGGTTCATTGTTCAACAGAACTTTTCCTTCGATGGTTAAACTATTTAAATTCTGACCAGTCAATACATTCAATAACGTTGTTTTTCCTGCTCCAGAGGCACCAAGAATGGCCAAAAGATTTCCTGGCTTCACATGACCAGTGACTATTGAAGAAATCAATAAAGAAATTAGATATTCCAATTCAGATTTTTTTGCACAGTGTAATAAAACAAATCGAATGCAGAAACAAGATTAAACATACAAATCAAACCAAAATGAATTGAACTTGAAAAAAATTGATCTGAAAGATCAACTTTGACGTCTATTGATACTTGCAAAATCACACTTTTAAATTGAATAGCACATTTTATATTAAATTTTAAATCGACAAGACTAATAAATCATGAAATTGTTATCAACTTACTATTCTTGATTATGTGAACAGATTCCTTTTTTTTACCAAAACAGCTAACCAAACCATTGGACCCTTTGGAGTAAACATTAAGATTATTCCAACTTAATGTAGTGGGTTTGAAATGAGCATCATTTGATGGTGATATATCATTGTTATTAATTCCTAAATAGAAACAAAATAAATTACATTCACCAATATTGAATAATCATGTTTCGTAATATTTAAAAGCGAGACAGGATGACAGTTTGATAAGAAAACATATGTTGAAAATAAAAGAGGACACATTGACAGTCTTGAAAGGTTGTAGAAACCGGCTAAATAATCAGGAAAGTGTGGTTAGCTGGAGTCTACAATTTCCAGAGAAATAACTGTTATCATTAAACACTCATGATTAAATCATGAAAATAAACGGAAAAATTGTCAATAAACACAATCAGTCCTCTTTTGAGGGGCCGTTGAAAAAATGTATCTTATAATCGTCTACAATACTTTACCATATGATGTTGATTCGATCCTGACTGATGTAGAGACGGGATTAATCAAAGGATCGTTTAATCCATTATTATCTGGGTTATCAGTTGATATCATTACATTAACAATAACTATCGGTTTAATTTATTAAAAGATTGATGTTGGTGTAAAAGAGATTCAAATCGATTGAAATGAAAAGATATTGAGGAAATTTTAAGGATTACATTAATTCATGTTCAAAGTAAGGTTGTCATGGTAACTTTTTCCTTATTCAATAGAGGGACACATTAATGAATAATTTACTTTCCCTCATTTTGGGTAAAACGGGTTTAAAACAAAACCCAACTTTTAAACAATATTATCCTTATAGTATTTGGTTTGCGTTTAATGAATTGACTTTCGTTTTTAATCAACATTTAACCACCTTAATTTATATTCTGTTTTTCTCCTTCCTAATCACTAAGAAACAACCTTAATGTGGTCTGAAAATTATTTACAGTAAAAAACTTGATACCTGTCTTAAGTGTTCAATTGTCAGTGCGTTCATGAATAATTATTCAACTGTCATCAATTTAGCAATCTTATTGTTTCTTACCGTTTCCAGATGAAGTGATTTCATCTTCAATGAAGGCTGGATTTTCAAAATATCGTCCTGCTTGTTTGGATTCTGAACTTTCAATCGGTATCACCGCCTCTCCATCTTGAGACATTGTTACTTGTGTTGTTTACTGGTAAACAATTGTTGATTTCACGAAAATTTCACAGCAATTTTATGATAAATTGTATTAATCGATATGTTTTATCGTTTCAATGATGTATGTCACTTCAGTATAAAGGATCCGGGATGATTGGTTATTGATTTATGCAATAAATAGATGTTTATTCACCTTATACGCAGTTGAAAATAACACGATATATTTTCGTTTGATGGTTGGTTTTCACTCACTATTCAACACGAACCAAAAGAATTAACCCGATATTTTAAAGCTGTGTTATGATTGGAATTTTGGTGAATTCTGTGGTATATTTATAAAAGCCTCTGTGATCAATGGAATGGTTATATCTTCACTCTCTATCTACACTCTCAAAGCACCTTCAATAGATTATTAGTTGCGATATGGACTAGATAATTCAAACCATGGATACACACCGTTAACAAATGAGATAAATCTACCAATATAACATGTATCATGAATCGATTGGGGCGGTGAACCTTGTACTGACTAATCTCATATTTCACAAATTATGGGATGATGTTGTTCACTGGAAATGTAAATTGAGCACTTTAGTGTTGAATCATTTAATTGTGTAAAAAATCTTGAAAGTAGATCTTAAAAGGCAGATCTGAAGAAACACCAAAATTGAAAAGCTTTTTAATCAACATTCCACTTTCTCTGTTTTTCACTATTCTCCTTTTACTCTCTCAATGATAAAGTCACTTAAATTGAACTAGATTATCGTGACCATTCAAATCCATCTTCATGAATAAAAATTAACTGATTCTATTTGGAGTGGTGAAAGATTCATCTATCTTGATGTACTTGAAAATAATTGTTGGTATTTAGCTTCAGCTTCTTAAATTTTACCTTGGCTGAACATTTCTCAACTAGGTTTAATAGACATTAATTTTGCCTTACATTTTATTGGATTCAGTCAACACAATTTTCATCTGTTCACATATAGTCGTGTTTAGTAATTGGCTGTGAATCTGTAATTTAAACCATTATCGCCCCTTCAATCAAATATCTATCATTCAATCCAGTAGCAACTAATCAAGCTACTGACTGATGAAACCCACACTGGTATTGTTACGCTCTCCTAGAAAAGCCCAGCTTTTTCCACCACATTTTCAACCACTTTTCACCGTACTGTCCACCACCAAGTCCAACTCACATTAACCATCATATCTATCTTATCCGAAAAGCGGTGAAAAATTTGCTGGATTTAGTTGGTGGAATATCTTATGAGAAAAATTGATTGAATATGTGATGGAAAAATATGGTGGATAAAAGTCAAGCCATGCCTTGTAGTGAGTCAATTAATTTCTGATTTGAGATGCAAATTATCAACCTAACTCTGATTAAAGCTAAACAGATGATGCCATATTTGGGTTCAATATGAGTACAACTCAGGTGGGGTTTGCCTTTTTATTTCCAAGTTTCTGAGAATTGCAATCCAACATCACTTAATAATGAAATTTCATTCGTCTGTGGCAAGTGAGAGTATCTTTTTATGGTTCTATGTAAATACATGAAACGTGCTACAACTGTTGGTCTGTGATGAAGATTAAAAATTGAACTAATAACTAACGCCTTAATTTAGTTCGGACAACAAGAGCAATATAAGCCATGAGCCGGAACACGACAATGACAAAAGATAACATCCAATAGTCGAAATCTAAATTGGATTCCTTGAAGCCAACAGACTCTATTACTTGCTTCCCATTGACTAAACAACCTTGTCCAGTTGAAATGGTGCGGTTCGTCGGAATGGATATGGGATTTGAGAAAGGTGCCTTATAATCACAATCAATGTGAGTCACATCACGCCATTGATTAACAGTCAATATTTCAGTTGCATAGTAAAACCAGGAGAAGTACTTGATCCAATTTATCCATTTAGGAACCGTACTGTAAATTGAAAAAAATCATCATTTAAACAGAAATCAATCAACTTTACTAAAAAGTCACTAATTTACTTGCTATTCAACAAAGTGCCACCGAGTATTATCAAAGGAGACATTAACGGAGATGCCAATTCGAGTGCAACTGTGGTAGATGGTGCCATAGTTGAGATGAAATAACCAAAGCCAGAAGCCGCGTTGACAACAAAAATACTAATTCCATTGCCAATCATGAATACTCTGAAGTCATTATAAAATCCAACTGAATAATAACATATAGACCAAGTTAATGCAGGAAGAATAATGAACCAAGGTAAATCTGAAAACAATTTTGCCAAATAATAAACGCTAGTACGATACAGTCCATTAGCATGTTCACGTAAAATAATCGGCATTTCCGTACAAAAGGTCTGAAAGGTTAAACTAAACAAGTTAAGGATGCTTCTTAATTATTGGACAGATATCTTACCCCGGCCACAATGAAAATGCTGGAAAAATTTGCATTTACAACCAAGAAAAAAATAGCTCCATTTATATTCATTATTCCTTCTTGATCGTAGTCCTGTTTCCAATAGACTAGACTAATCAAAAGTGCTGTAAACTAAATAAATAAAGAAAATAAATTATTGATTGTCACAATAAACTGTTTGGCTGGTTAAAAATATACTTACAACTGTATTGACAACTCGAGAAGTGGATAGAAGAGGATCTCTTAGATTGATTAATGACGATCGCCAGAGCAACAGTTTAAATTGTGTTGAAATGGGTCTACGAACAGTTCGGACGAATCCAAACATTCTATAGTAATAATTTGTTTCGAGTTTTGTTGCAAAGGTTATTTCTTTCTTCAGATCTTCATAATATCCAGAAGAATCAAAGTTATCACAAATCATCTACATTTACGAGAATAAATTTAAAAGTTAATTAGTTTACTTAATCTTTTTGAATTGTTTCATATGCATAACAAATCAAAGAATGTAACTGATAGTTTGGTGGAATAATCTGATTGAAACTTACTTTAATCTTGGATCGACATTGATCTACATTATTAGGAGTGAGGGAAAGTTGGAGAATGAAAAAATCTGATGGATTATAAGTTGATGGACAGTTGAGTCCAAGTTGAAGGAAAAAGTCAAGCGCTGCTTCTGTAGTTCCTAGAAAAGCGACTCGACCCTCAGCTAGCAACATTATTTGATCAAACATTTTGAATATTTCAGATGACGGTTGATGAATGGTACATACAATGGTTCGTTGCTCTTTAGCCAAAGATTTAAGAACAGATACAACCGTTTGTGCCATAAATGAATCGAGGCAAGAGGTTGGCTCATCACAGAATAGTATTGCAGGATCCGTTAAGACCTAGAAACGTATGAAATAAAAGTAAAATTGGTCCACAAATGAACTAGGAAATCTGATGAAAGATATTCACCTCAGTAGCAATCGATAATCTTTTAAGTTCGCCACCAGATAATCGTTGTCCACTTGATCCACATTTAATACGATTTTCAGAAACTTTCGTTAATCCTAACTAAACAAAAAATAGCTTCTTATAGTCAATAGCGAAATCAAAAATAGTTCAAGAGTTTAAAAGAGCTTAATTGATAGTGCTATCATTTATTCTATCATTGGAACTTACTTTTTCCAGAATTTGGTCGATTCTGCGGTTAGTTTCCTCAACATTCATATTGATTGGACTTCTAAGTTTAAGTTGGAATCGCAAGTGTTCTCGTACAGTGAGAACACCAAAGAATAAATCCTCTTGTTGAACATACGAGGAACATGAAGATAACCTTTCGATAGTAATTGGCTCATTGTTCAAAGAGACTTGTCCTTCAATGGCCAATCTATTCGAATTATGACCAGTTAATACATTGAGTAAAGTGGTTTTTCCTGCTCCAGAAGCACCAAGAATGGCCAACAGATTACCAGGTTTTGCTTGGCCAGAAACTATTTCGAAGAAAGAGAGAGAATCAAATATTAAATTCTATTATTAAAACACTATCTCTAAGATACAATTAAATAATAAACAATTGGCAGATAAAAATAGTCATGATTGCAAATATGAAAATTTATTGCGAAGACTTTTTATGGTTTGAGTGGATATTTTGAATAACAAAAATACGAACAAAGTCTCCATTGTAAACATGTATCCCAATTTAGACCGTAAAATGATTAAACTATAATTTAAACATACCTTTTTTAATTATGTGAACTGGTTCCTTTGATTTAAAAAAACAATCAGCTAAACAGGAAGATCTTTTGGAGTAAACATTTAGGTTATTCCAACTTAATGTAGTGGGTTTAAAATTAGCACTCGAGTCTTCTGATGGAGATGGAACATCTTTTTTGATCTCTGTGAAGAATCAAATTAATCAATATGGCGACAGAAATAATTATTATTATGTTCGATTATCTATTACAATAAATATTTAAAAGCAGTAAATATTTCACCATTTGGCTCAATCGCGTCTATGTCAACTGCATCTAAACCAAGCACTTCTGGTGAAAAGAAGGGTTTAGTGATTCGAGGTTCTGGTCCTTTTCCCGGTGTATTTTCCGTTTGCCCACCGGTTGGTGACATCGTATTGACTGCCTGGTTTAACTGAATAAATAATTAACTCCTAACCAGATTAATGGTAAATCAAACCATCTTTCTCAATCTAAAGAGGCTAAGCATTACGTGTTTACTTCTCTGTCACTCTTAGCCAAAGGATTTTATAATAGGGCTTCGATGAGTATTCACAGTTGAGTGTAAATTGTTAAACATTGATGTATAACATATTGAAATTTTAGATCATCCAAGATCCTAAAAAAGTTATAGCATTGTACTATCTACGGTTGTACTAGCATTTTCTGGTTGACCGTACGAATCCACAGAGTCTCGACTTTTAACTCAAAAGTCAAAGTTTTCGGCTTCACTTCTTAACATTAAAATAATTTTGTACAGATATGCATTTAGGTTGCAAATAACCTTTTAATGTGAAAAATGCTTTGAGAGTGAAAATGAATGTAATCCTTTTTTGTAGGAATTAAAAAAATGGCCAAAGAAATGAAACATGATACAATTGTTGGACTGTGATAAAATAAAAACAAGTGCAATCCAGATGCACAAATATAAAATTTAAATAAATAGTTAGTTTCTTAATTTAGTTTAGTTCGGACAACAAGAGCAATATAAGCCAAGAGACGGAATACGATGATGACAAAAATTAGCATCCAATAGTCAAAATTTAAATTGGATTCCTTGAAGCCAACAGACTCTATTACTTGCTTCCCATTGACTAAACAACCTTGTCCAGTTGGAATGGTGCCGTTTGAAACAGCTGCTATAACTCCTGCTATTGAACTTGGAACGGGCGTCTCATAATCACAATCAATGTGAGTCACATCACGCCATTGATTAACTGTTAAAATTTCATTTGCATAGTAAAACCAGGAGAAATATTTAAGCCAGTTGATCCAATGTGGGATTAAACTGCAAATAAAAAAATATTATTGAGTATAAATTGAAATAAAGGTTTTATACGAATATTGTTAATTTACTTGCTATTCAAAAAGGTGCCACCGAGCAATATTAAAGGAGTCATTAACGGAGCTGAATATTCGAGGGCAACTTGATTTGAGCTTGATATGGTTGAGATGAAATAACCAAATCCAGAAGCCGCGTTGACAACAAAAATACTGATTCCATTGCCAATCATGAATACTCTGAAGTCATTATAAAATCCAACTGAATAATAACATATGGACCAAGTTATCGCAGGAAGAATAGTAAAATAAGGTAAATCTGAAAACAATCTCGCCAGATAATAAACGCTTATACGATACAATCCACCAGCGTGTTCACGTAAAATAATCGGCATTTCCATACAAAAAGTCTGAAAGATACAACTCAATAAGTTACTGAAGCTTCGTAATCAAACAGGTTGCCAAGGAATCATTACTTACCCCAGTTACAATGAAAATACTTGAGAGATTTGCTGCCATATTTAAGAGAAAAATAGCTCCATTTATATTCATTATGGCTTCTTGATTGTAGTCCTGATTCCAATAGACTAAACTAATCAAAAGTGCGGTGAGCTGCCACAAAATCATTGAAAATGGGGTTTGATTATTACTATAATCTAAAGTATTAATAAGGCTGATTGAAAATATACTTACAAATGTATTGACAACACGAGAAGTTGATAACAAAGGATCCCTTAAATTGATTAATGACGATCTCCAAACTAGCTGTACAAATTGTGTTGCGATAGAGGCAGGCATTAATTTGACAGATCTAAACACTCTAATGAAGTAATTAGTGGTCAGTTCAGGCTCAAAGGTAATTTCATTTTTCAGTTTTTCATTATACCCAGAAGAATCAAAATTATCACAAATTATCTATATGCAGAAGAAAATTTATTAATATACAAGTCGATTAATTTGCCTAAGCATGAGAACTTACTTTAATCTTAGATCGACATTCATTTATGCTTCTGGAATTGACGGATAATTGTTGAATAAAAAAATCTGATGGATTATAATTTGATGGACACTTGTATCCAAGTTGAGAAAAGAAATCAAGAGCTTTGTCTGCCGTTCCAAGAAAAGCGACTCGACCTTCAGCCAGCAACATGATTTGATCAAACATTTTGAATATTTCAGACGATGGTTGATGAATGGTACATACAATGGTTCGTTGCTCATTAGCCAAAGATTTAAGAACAGATACAACAGTTTGAGCCATGAATGAATCGAGGCAAGAAGTTGGCTCATCGCAGAATAGTATTGCAGGATCGGTTAAAATCTATCATCCAATATTTAAAATAAATGAGTTTAAATTTCATGAAAAAATTTATAAATTCAGGATCAATAAAAAAGAATGATATTTACCGCAGTAGCAATTGACAATCTTTTAAGCTCACCGCCAGATAATCGTTGTCCGTTTGATCCACATTTTATCCGATTTCCAGCAACTTTCATTAACCCTAACTAGATAATCAAACGATTTGATGAAGTCAATCAAGAAAATGGGAATAAAGTATCTAAGAGAGTTCCAAGAATTACTTACTTTTTCGAGGATTTGGTCAATTCTTTTGTTAATTTGACTAGAATTCATTGAAAATGTAGTCCGAAGTTTGAGTTGGAATCGCAAGTGTTCTCGTACAGTAAGAACACCAAAGAATAAATCCTCTTGTTGAACATACGATGAACATGAAGATAGCCTTTCGATGGTAATTGGTTCATTGTTCAAAGAGACTTGTCCTTCAATGGCCAATTTATTCAAATTTTGACCAGTTAATACATTCAGTAAAGTGGTTTTTCCTGCACCAGAAGCTCCAAGAATGGCCAACAGATTACCAGGTTTTGCTTGGCCAGAAACTATCCAAACCAACATTGGACGAAAAAAACAAAAACACGATTAAATTAAAATTCTAGTGTTTCACTTTCACACTAATCTTTAACTAAACATACCTTTTTTAATAATGTGAACTGGCTCCTTTGGTTTACGAAAACAATCAGCTAGACTAGGCGACAATTTGGAATGGACATTTAGATTATTCCAACTTAATGTAGTGGGTTTAAAATCAGCAGCACTTGCACTTTGCAGCACAGAGTTTAAATCTTTTAATGGAAATGAAACATTGTATTCTATTAAGAAAATAAATTATAATTATAACATGCAAACAAATACAACAAATGATTAAACAGTCTTCTATCATCTGACAAAGTAAAACGATACTTTACCATCTGGTGTTGACTCAATCCTATCTGATAAAAAGATCGGATTAGTAAAGAAATTATCCGATCCATTTTCCGATTTTCTTCTCGTTTCCATATCACTGGACAGAATTGATTAATTAATTTGTAATTAAATTTTTTTCTAAACTCTAAATTAAAGAATCTTAAACGTAACTAAATGTTCGACTCTTTACTGACTGATTTTATGCATAACGTTTCGACATGGCTAAATGATAGATACCTCAAGTTATGATAGATAAAGCTTTAGTGCAAATTATCAAGAAAATTCATAGTAATTATGATTCATAACAATCAACTGTATGCATAAGTTTGAGTACAAATTGGCAAATTGATTTTCCTTGCCAGTTTTGATAGAAATTCCTAAATTACATAATTTCCTAAATTCCTATGTAAGATTTCTTTATACCATTTAAATCGTACGATCATTACATTTTCATGCAAAAACATTGATAAAAACATCATCATGAATAAAGTTCAAGTTTTCACAAGGTTTGTAATCAATGTACTCAAAATGTAAACAAAATATACACAGCATTGCATGTTATTAATGAATATTAAGTCGGTTTCACCAATCATTTGAGCTTTTCAAGATAAAAGAAGGAAAAGAAAGCAAAACTTGTCAAGATTGCGTTCAAATTTCAACAGAATTAGGTTTTTCCAGTCCTTTTCATTTCAGTGAGATAGATTAGATTAGTCATTAGATTTAGGTTTGCTTTAGTCTATGATTTTTGAAAAACATTTGATTGAAAAAAAGGTAATTTCTTCGATTTCATTCGTTTCTGTCTAATTTTGACCTGTCCCTTGTTGACCCAAGTCATTAAAAGATTGAAAAATTGCTTAAAAGCTCAGAGCCAAATAACCAGAGCTTAGACCAAAAGTATTGAAACATTGGTTTTTGCTAAAAAGACACAATTGTCAACCGGGTAAGAATAGGTTCCTTTCAAATTTAGGCTTCTGGTAGCTTGTAGTTATATAAAAAGTGCATTCATTTGTGTGATTTAAAAGTTTCTCTGATCGACAGTTTTCGAGAGAATCGAGTTGAAAATTGAAACTTCGATTGCCTTTTGTACAGTTGTGTGACCAGATTTTTTCATGTAACTTCATCTCTCTGATGTATCCTTTGCTTGTTAACCAGAAAATGCACTTATTTCGCGAAATAAAATTTTCTGTTTCCTTTAAAACAGATCAGTTCGATTTTTAGCTAAACCGACCTTACTCTGAGACTGTAAGAGTTAGAGTACTGTAATTTGTTACTTGTCCATAAAAATTGTTTGAACAAAACATGGATCGAACACCTTTCTTCTTTAATCAACAGTTCTCTTGATTTTGCTCTTTAACCTTAAAATTTCGAGCCTCATTATTTCAAGAGCGGCATCTCATGAAGTCATCTTTTTTTCAGCATATAATAGATTTTATCATGGGCTACAATACATTGAAATAATAAATTATTCAAGATCGTACGAAAAAATTTATAGTATTTTTGTCAAATTTGAGATTTGATTAGTAAAGTTAAATGTTTTCACACACAAATCTTTTGGGTTGAAGAATATTTATTATTAAATGAATTAAATCAGATTTTATTCGATATTCATCCGTATTATGTTTTAGTTCAAAATAAAATCTAGTGTTTGGTCAAAGAATAACGATTGTAGATGATGCCATTCTTGGAATATCGGAGTTCAAAGTTTTTAAAATAATGGCCAAAATCAAGAGATCTGTTGATAAATCAAAAAAATTATTCAGTCCACGATGTGTGCAAACAATTTCCATGAACCAATAATAAGTTTCAGTTCTCTAACTCTCACTGTTCCAGAATACGATCGGTTGAACTAAAAATCGAACTTTGTCTGTTTTAAAGAAAACAGAAATATTACTTCTCAAAATAAGACCACTTTCTGATTGATCATCAGAAGAAACATCGTAAAAATAAGTTTCATCCAAAAATTTGCTTCCATATTTGAGCAAAAGGCAATCGAAGTTTCAACTTTGACCTCGATTTCC